CATAATCCCATCTTTTGCCCTCACTTCTAAACCTTTTGACTCTAAGGTTCCCACAGAGATGAGATTTCTCATTAAATCTGGTACATAATGGACACCTGTTAAGGTTCTGATTGATCCATCCTGATTCCTCAAGCAAATTGAATCAATCCCAAGTGTGTCAAGAGGGGAATTATTTACTGTGTAGGCAATTTCACCTTTTAGTTCTTTAAAAATCAAAGAACCATTCTCTATTGGGGGTCATATGGTGGCTACAAGCTGAATCTAACAGCCATGAACTGGAACAGTTGGTTGACGGCGTAGCAGCGAATGCGAAATCTGAATCTGCATCATCATACTCGACCACATTTGATTCTGATACAGTCTTTCCCCTTTCAGGTTTGCCTTTGTTCTTTAGCCTGGGACATTCTTTCTTCCAGTGCCCTTTTTCTCGACAAAAGGCACATTCATCTTTGCTCAATCTGGACTTTGACTTCGATCTTCCTCTCCTTCCTTTATTCTGACTCTTCGAACGACCTCTAACAAAAAGAGCTTCTGCTTCGAAACTTATGTTTTCTTTTTTGTCTTTCTTTCTCAATTCATAACTATACAAGGCATGTAACATCCCCAAACTATGGGTTAGTGACCAAATTGTAAAGTTTTAGAATTTGGTGACTAAAGTAGAAGAATGGATTAGTTTAGTGATTTATTTGGAAGTATTTCCTAAAAGTTGTTAGTAATTATTAAAGGAACTAAAGGGTAAAATGGTCATTTGATCATTTAAGGAATTAAAAATGTGATAGTGGGGATATATATATTTTTACACGTGGGTGTGTAGGAAACCAAAAACAATGTTTCCAGAATTCTCTTCTCCTCCTTTCTTCTTTGTGCGTGAAGTTCCAGATCAAAGGTGAGTTTCTTAATTAGTTGGTTATTTGTTGAATTAAAAGTTGGGTTATTATTCTTAGGTGATACTTAAGCTTAAGGAAAGCTTAAGTTATCTTAAAATCAAAAGATAAATGAGTTAGGGAAGATTAAAGATTTGGAGTTCTTGAGTGAATTTCCGGAATGGAGTTGATAAGTTGAACTTGAAGCTAAATTTGACTTGTTATCAGCTTAATTAAGAAGTATTAAGTGTTAGAATTGGATTTGAAACATGTGGAAAATAGGGTATGATTCTTGATGTTCCTAAAGAGGAGAGGATATTAAGGTTAAAGATGAGATAAATGAATATTAATGAGTTTAAGTATGTATATGTAAGTTAGGAATATGAAAGGGGTTGAAATATGAAGGATTTAATCCAAAAAAATGAATTTTCGGGTTTAAAAAGGGGATTTTGGGCAGAGCGCATCGATGCATATTCATAGTGCACCGATGCATCAAGGTTAAAACCCATAAATTGTTTGAAGGTGTATCGATGCACTCTTTTAATCTAAAAACATCGAATGCAATTGGTGCATCGATGCATAAGGCATGCATCGATGCATCCCAGTAATAAACAAACATCGAATGTATTTTGTGCACCGATGCATAAGTAGTGCATCGATTCATCGGTAGGGAATGCATCGATACACTGTGCAGTGCATCGATGCATACCTTCATTAAAAGATGAAATGGGCTTTTCTTTTAGCCTAAGAAGTGACAATTTAGAAGATATCAATTAGTTTACTGATATGTATCAATGTATTTTTTATGATGTAGATATAGAATGAAGCTTGTTCCGGAACAATCTAAGAATTAAGATTGATTCAAAGCAAACAAGGCTAAGGTGAGTGCACATTCTCTAGTATATGAGGCTCAATGGAAAATAAGACTTGCGATAAGTCTATTTCCAATAGTGAAAAACATGAATTCATAGAAGTATGTATTTGTTATGATTTATATGTGTGCATGAGTATATGTGTTATTGATATGAATATGGTAAGTAAAAGGGATTAATGGTGATGATAAGAATAATAATAAGGATAATGAAATGATAGGTATATGTGAATATATGTATTGAGGTGTTTTTGTATGTATTGTAAGATTATATGTTTATGTGATAACATGATGAGATGACAGTGATTTACATATCATATGAACACATGAGAAATGTTATGAGCTATATGAAAGAGAAAGTACATGTGATACGTGAAGGTGAATCATATGTTTATATAAATATGAACTCATATGAGAATTGACATGAACTACGTGATTACATGTATATGTGAATGAAACCATGAGCTTATATGAATATATGATATGGTTACATGAATATGTAAAAGGATATAAAAGATAATGCCCATGTTATGTGTCATGAGAGCTAGGGGTATAGTTGGTATGCCAAAAGTTCGAGGGTCTATGTGGTCCTTCAGGACATATATATATTCTTTGGAATATGTGTGAAGTCTGGTGAGACACATACTTGATCCTTGGCATATGTATATGATTCTTAAGGAATGATATGCGGTCTTTCGGGACATATATGTATTCTTTGGAACATGTGTGAAGTCTGGTGAGACACATACTTGATCCCTAGTATATGTATATGATTCTTAAGGAATGATATGTGGTCCTTATGGACATTATTATATGGCACTACGGTGCAATTCTACGTGGCACTCCGGTGCAATTATATGTGGCACTTCGGTGCAATTATATGAGTTGTGGTGACAATATTAGTGCACAACCTCTATGTACTCGCATATCTTTAGTTCTCACATGTGTATCATGGGCTATTAAATAGATAATATTAATAAAAATGAGATGATTATAGTTGCCTGGGTGTACGTGTTTTATGATAGTATATATGGTATATGTTATATGATATACATGAGTACAGGTTAAGGTATATGTGAATATTATAGTTGCCTGGGTATACGTGTTTTATGATAGTATATATGGTATATGTTATATGATATACATGAGTACATGTTAAGGTATATGTGAATGAGTATAATTGATTGAAATGATGATATAATAATAAGTTTATAAGATATATGATATGGACATAAGAGATCATAGGAACATGAGATAAGAGATATGAATGATAATGACATATATATATGTATATATATTTGTTACATGTAAAAGTATGAGTTGTATGAAATGATAATAGTAATTGTTTATGTATGATTATTAGTTACCATTTACTTTATATGTTTATTGCCTCACTAAGTCTTTGACTTAGCGTGTAAGTGATTTACACGTAGGTTCCGATAAGAGTAAAGAGCAATGTGGAGCAAGACAGGTCAGTTCTCCTTACTAAAGGTCAGATCAGAAAAGAGGTGAATAATATGTATTTTAGTATATAAAGTTCTAGTTGGCATGTTTTCAAAAGAATGTATTGTTTAAGCTATGAACAATTTTATAAATGTTTTGAATAGTTATATGTAAATAAATAAGTGAAATATACACGCTCTGATTGGTTTTGTAATAATGAAAATGTCTTTTATGTAAATTAGTCATTTATATGTTATAAAAGTTTTAAATTACTCACTATTTTATACAAGTACATGTTTTAAAAGGTCAATGTGACACCTCGGATTCGTATCCGGGACCTCGGATTCGTATCCGGGTCGAATATGGGTTGGGGTGTTACAAGGTAACATTTACTTCACTGAGAGACACAACAACTTTCCCATGAAGTAGAGTCGTTTCAAGATACTCAAACTCATCAGGAAGTGATCCCATCAACATCAGAGCCAGATCTTCGTCTTCAAAAGTCACGTCCATATTCATCAGATCAGTCACCAACTGATTAAAGCTAGTAATGTGATCATTCATAGTGGTATCTGGTACATAGTTGAAGGGAATAATCTCTTTTTCATGTAGAGCTTGTTCTGACCGCTTTTCTTCAAAAATTTCTCCTCCAGTGCCTTCCACAATTTACTTGCAGAAGTTTCCTTAGAAAATGCATACTTCTGCTCTTTAGAAAGACACGATCGAATAGTACCACATGCCAATCTATTGATCCTCTTCCATTCTTTCTCCTCAACATCATCTGGTTTCTCTCCTTCAATAGCAATGTCTAGACCCTACTGAAATAGGGCATCTAGAACCTCACTTTGCCACATGCCGAAATGATCGGTGCCATCAAAAATCTCCACTGCAAATCTAACATTTGTCACAGCTATTGACGACGATGTGGATGTTTTTGTTGCGTCTGCCATTTCTGCTACAAATTCTATTTAATAGTTGTCAATGCGGAATGCCAATTATCCCAAGGAAATTTTTTCTGATGTGGAAGATCAGCCTAAGCCGCAACCACAGAGCATACTAAAATAAACCAAGAGCGCTGATACCAATTGTTGTGGAATTCGGGTTAATTTCCACCAATAATAACAAATTCACCTTGAAAACTATTATCTAGGTGACTAGTGTGAAAACGATTGTACTAAAAATCACCCCAATGTAGATTCCCAGGAAAGAGGAGGGGTCACAATGATCCCTCTTAAAATCCACTTTCCTTAGACAGAACTACTAAGACAAGTAATTTTAATAGGACAATAATTAACAACAACTATACCCGACAATAGTTATTAAATAGACATAAAGAGAACACTAAAATTTAACGAGGTTAGGCCAAAATTATGCCTACCTTCTCGAACACTACTAAAATAATATTTCACTAATAGAGGAAATATTACAAAGAGAGAAAGAGTACAAATAGCCTTTAATAGTGAAGAAAGTTTATATTTGTGGGATGCTAAACTAAGGAGGATGATGGCTCTATTTATAACAAAAGAATTTCCCTCCTCCTTATACAAAACCAATGTGGGATATTTGCCAAAAACCAACATAATCATTACATTCAAACCGATAATCAAAATTTATTCAGACCTAGACCAGAATAAATATGAACATATAGAAAGACTTAAACTAAAATAAATTTAAAGAAAACTCAGACATGATTTACACATGTTAAAACCCGAACATAGAACCTTATAGTTCCTACGACGACAACGTTATCATTAAACTAAAACCTCATCGGTAATAATACAAAACAATACTAAACCGATCTCCAAACTAAAATTATTATTAAATCAGAGCATTGCTAAATTATGAATGTTGTATGGAGAAGCACAAAGAGTAGAGTTGGAGCTATAAGCATTTTTGGCCATGATCTCCATTTGATACTCGGTAATATGGACTCCATCCCAAAATATGTGCTTCTTTGGGTCACTACATGGCTTTGAATTACGAACACAAAGTTCTCCGGCACCGCCTCCGGTTTTGCAGCATGCACCGATTTTCACTAAATGCCCACAACAACACCTTAATTAGTTTTTTCGATCGTATCATGTTGTTCGATCCATGAAAAAAATCTAATTGTAGTGATTATAAGAGAGGCAAAGCGATGGTTGTTTACCGAATTCCGCGATATCGACCGGAGCTCCGGGTGGATTAAGATAGGTAAATTTAGCTTTGATTAGAGTTCTGTTAAATTCACGGATGAGTTGTTGGAGTCTTTCATTGAAAAGGACTGCAGCCTGGTTCAGGATGTCTACACAAGGTGACCCATTGGTTCCATACAGCGAAATCGCATTCGGGGTGCAACCAATCGGCGGTACTCCGAACACGGCGAACTTTCTTGCACCGTTATCGTACAGAACCTGGTAGTATGTCGAAATTAGATCCGAAAATGAGTTGATAAATCAAAATAAATAAATAAAACATTGGTAAATAACCATAAGTTGGCGCGAAAGTTGTTGAACGAGCATTGTGGTATATGCCGATAGACTATAGCGTCGGCTGCTGTCGTAGAATTTCGGCAAGAAATAGTTGTTGATGAAGTCGTTGCTTCCGATTTCAATAGAATAAATACATTTGTTTAGAAGTTTTTTCGTAGCCGATAGATCGTATCGCATTTCCTTAGTAATCGAAGAAATTACAGCTTTGTGATTTTTCAAGATTTGCTCGTTCAAGGGTATTCGATCACCCTGCACGAGACATCAAAAGGGTATGTAATGTTATAATAAACATTGTTTCCATTTGAAAAATTATGTAACGGACGCATCTAAAATTACCATATTATATTTTCCGGTTTCATCGAGAATGCCCGCGGAACCGGACGCATAGTTCACGCCATTAAGCATTTCTTTTCCTTTCCCCACTGCTTGGGCAAAAGGTGGCATATAACTTTCGAACCCCAAAAGTTCAACTATCAGCATATACATATATAAATGAATAATAATACATAAACTTTGATTAATTAAATATGTAAACGGAGAAGAGTGGAGAACAAACCAATAAAATCTTGTAGGGTTCGGCCATTGGTAAACCTTCCGGTCGGTCCTCCAGGGAAATCAACCCCATACGGTGGATAGTTCACCTTGGCCAATGTCTTAAGGTTATTATTGTTTCCATTATCCGAAAGCGAGTCTCCGAATATAAAGTAGCATGGCACCTCGGGTTTTGCATTGGTCGAGTTTGTTTGATTTGCATTTGTCGAGTCTGTGTGATTTATTTTTGTCGAGTTAGAGGGCTTTGCATTTGTCGAGTTAGAGGGCTTTGCATTTGCCCAGTTTTGCAAACTCGACAATGCTAACAACACTGAGATCATCACCAGCTTCGATGGCTTAAAATGGGGATCCATGGACGATGAAGGAAAAACGAAGAAAAGAGGGTAACGTGGGAAGATTATAATTAACAAAGGAACGGAAGTATATATAGGGAGAAATAAATAGGCATATTTTTTACTTGGACTAGCGTTGATTCCTCGCTAACGCAAGGGGGATTTTTTTAAAATATATTATAAATTTTTAAAAATGTGGATGTGAAAAATGAAAACAATTTCATATCGCTTGTGGAAACAAGAGAAATAGTTCTTTATATCTATATAGAGTGTAACATCCTAAAATCCTTTTTTAGTCTTCTAATTGAAAGGTTCTTTAAAAGATTTAAATATTAACTTAAATCTTTAGAAAGGATATCATGTTCAATTGATGTTAGTTGGTTAAATCATTAGAAAGCAATAAATGAAAGTATAAGGACCAAATTGAAAAGAATACACTAGAAAAATTAAAAGCTTAAGGACTAACTTGTAAATTTCTTAAAAAGAGAGTCTTGCATGCCAAATTTTCCAATAGTTATATTAATGGGAATTTGATGAATATGTGCCCATCATTGAATGTTTAAACATTCATATGTGCCCATAGTTCTATAATTCCCTAGTGACTATCTATCATTTTAGTACCTTTCATCATAGTATCAAGGTTGGGTGAGCGAACCCTAAACCCTAATTGAAGTAAGGGATTCAACAATGTTAGTTTTAATGTTTGATTTTGGTTTTTGATGTTTTGAATTACCTTTGGCTGTGTTCTTGTCATTGAAGCTCAAGTGAATTTAGTGGAATCCTTCAAAGCTCGGGAAAATCGAAGGTTATCGAATAATCGACAATTCGAGGCATACTATAAACTCGGATTAGGTGAGTATAGCCTAAACCGAGTATGTAATTGTGTTTGATTTTAATTTATACAGGAATGCATGTTTAAAACTGTCTAAAATTTAAGTTCAATTCAATTCGAACAACTGTATAACACGTCACTTGCTAAGATATGCCTTGATATATTTCGTTATGTAGGTTCCATGTTTCGGTTTTTCTGAGTATGTTAGCAAATTTTGTAGAATTGATATCCATATGTTAACTTGTTAATTTTCTATGGTTCAATATGAAAATTAAGCTAAAAGCTTTATCCGAGAAACTATCATGAGCTATGTGCTAGTGATAATGTAAATGATAATTTCCAATATTTGACTATATGTTAAAGTGAGCCCCGGTTATCAGTTAGTTCCATTTGTAATTGGCATGTCATAGAGTTTATAGCGCTTACGGGTTAATTTAAGACTTCAGTCTTGACGAGATGAATAGATGTTATGTATTTGGACTATGTGTCCCGACGAGACGGAATGATGTCTATTAAATTTGTATGGTATAGATACTTGATAAGAAGAGAAGATTCAAGTATCCATAATTTACTAATAAGCCATCGAGCTAAAATAGATAACACTAACCCTGATTACTTTGCATACATGGATTTCTTGTTATGATAATGTGCTTATTGCTTATGCTTTAGTTAGATTGCATACATGGATAAATTAATTTGTTTTGCTTTGATATATTCGGATATAGATCGGAATAAATACAAATATTGTCGACACATAAAAAGATTAAAACTATAATACATTCAGAGAGAATTCATACATGATCTATGTAAGGTGAAATCCGAACATAAAATCTTAACGTTCCTACGATAATAACCTTATCATTAATCTAAGATCTCATCGGAAATTATTATTATATCAAAGCATTGCTAATTTATGAAGGTTAAATGGATTAGCACAAACAGGAGAGCTGCAGCTATAAGCATTGTTGGCCATGACCTGCATTTGATCCTCGGTAAGATGGACACCGTCCCAAAAAATGTGCTTCTTCGGGTTACTACATGGCTTCGAATTCCGAATACAAAGTTCTCCGGCACCGCCTCCGGTTTTGCAACATGTACCATTTTTCACTGAATGCCCACAACAACATCGTAATTAGTTTTTCGATCGTAATGTTCAGTCCATGAACAAGTCTAATTGTAATGATTATACCATGCAGAAGCAAAGAAAGGGTTGTTTACCGATTTCTGCGGGATCGATTGGAGACCCGGAAGGATTGAGATAGGTAAATTTAGCATGGGTTAGATTGTTGTTAAGTTGGTAGATAAGTGGCGTGAGTTTTTCATTGAAGATGACTGCAGCCTGGTTCAACTTGTCTACACAAGGTGACCCATTTGTGGTCCCATACAGCGAAATCGCATTCGGGGTGCAACCGATCGGCGGTAGTCCATACACGGCAAACTTCCTTGCACTGTTATCGTACAAAACCTGGTAGTATATCCAATAGTTAGGGTTTAATTTCTCAGTTTAACCGATCGATCCGGATTTTGCAATCGTACAAATTAACAGAAAATAAGTACTAATTACCTTAATTTGGTTTGAAAGTTGTTGAATGAGCAGGTCGGTAAATGCTGATAGACTATAACGTCGGCTGGTGTCATAGAATTTCGGTATGAAATAATTGTTGATGTAGTCATTGCTTCCGACTTGAATCGAATAAATGCATTTGTTTAGAAGCTTTTTTGCCGCTGGTAGATCGTTTTGCATTCCCTTAGTTATGTCTTGAATAATAATTTTGTGATTTTGTATAATCTGCTGGGTCAAGGGTATCCGAGCACCCTACACACGACATCAAAAGTGTATAGTGTTTCATAATATTAGAATAAACCTCATTCCACAAGACACAATATACGAGACAGATATATTGAATCAGAACGAATAATTAACTCATATAAATTTATAATACTCGAATTATGAACGATTTTTGAAATTACCACATTATATTTTCCGGTTTCGTCGAGAATGCCTGCAGAACCGGACGCATAGTTCACACCTCTAAGGATGTTTTTCCCGGTCTCTTTTACTTCGGAGAAAGAAGGTATATAATTTTTGAACCCCAAAAGCTCAACTATCATGATACACATACACATATACATACATAAATGAAATGTTAATTTTAAACGAGATAGTAATATACATAAACTTTGATTAAATGTGTAAATCGAAAATGGACAAACCGATAAAATCTTGTAGGTTTCGGCCATTGGTAAACCTTCCTGTTGGTCCCAAAGGAAAATCATTCCCGTACGGCGGATAATCTACCTTGGCCAATGTTTTAAGGTCATTGTTGTTTCCATTATCCGAAAACGAATCCCCGAAAATAAAGAAACAGGGCACTTCGGGCTTTGCATTTGCCCAGCTTCTCAACCTCAATAATACTAACAACACTGAAATCGCCATCAACTTCGAAAGCTTAAGATTAGAATCCATGGACGATAAAAAAAATAAAAACGAGGAAAGGAATGTAAGATAATTAAGCAAGCAACGAAACTATATATAAGACAAATAAACAATGTTAAAATGGGAAATATTTTTACTTGGAGAAGCGTTGATTACTCGCTAATGTTGGGGTATTATCAAACATAAAAACATATATTTAGTTAAATATCATTTGGGGATGATTGCTTGTCGGAGTCGCGTCATGTTCATCTGTTATTAAATAGTTTCAAAGGCTTCAGTATATGCTCGTTGCCCGTTCTTTGGATCCCTGGAGTGTTAACTAGTTAAGAATTATCACGGTTATTATCCTCTTCTTAGAAAATGTATAATGATAAAATTAACCTCGACATTCGTATAAATGATTATTTTAACTCATAACGTTCTAATTTTTTTATCAAAATAATTCATGTCGAATGAAAATTATTAGTTGACTAACGATCAACACTTGTTGTTGACATGACATTTTTATATACATTTAATTGATGATAGTTGACTAACGATAACATAATATTTTCACATGTATTTAATTGATGACATGACATTTGACACGTCATCAAAGTGATGATATGACATATGTCACATCACCCAAAATGATGATATAATATTTGTCACATCATCCATGTGATGATGTGACATTTATCATGTCAACCAAAATGACTGTGTGATATGTGTCACATCATTCAAAGCGATGATTTTGGATATACCACATCACCAGTTAAGCATATGTAAAAGTGTCACATTAGCAATAAGTGTTGATCATTGGTTAACTAACGATTTTGCATTTTGATCTTAATGTTATTTATGATTTTATTTTATTTAAGCACTTATATTGTTATGATACTTATTTTTGGGTATTTGCTTTTTTATTGTGTTTATATTTTTGTCATTATAGTTTAAACTTTCATCATCTAGCATGATTAATATAAATTGGATAAATTGGTTTAATTTCTTATTTTGGTCGAATCAAATTATCTAATTTCGAATTCTTAAGAGAAATTATTATATTCCTTTTATTTCAGTTGGAAAGAGAAATATTTTTCCTAAAGTATTTTAGGGATTATTTTCTCTTCAATTTGAAATATTAGAATATTTTTATTTATCTCTAGAATATTTCGTTAAATAAATCCAACATGGATTATTTTAACTAAAATTAAAATATAATGTCATCATGCCTTATATATATAATGACATTATTTTTACACTTCAAACCTTCTCATTTCCTCTAAAGGGAGGTTAATGCATTTCATCTTCCTCTTTTGACAATTTATCTCCTTTTAGAACATAAGATGTAATATTCTTCATCATTTAATTTTTTTCTAATTTATTAATTTATTGTAATGTGAATGTTGGACTGAATTATCACGCCGTCCTAACTTTAAATTAATATAAAAAAGTTTAATCATTATTTTAACAACAATAATTAATAATTTTAGACGAATTGTGATAAATTAATGTGAAAGAATTAAATTTTGAAATTCAATGTAAAACATAAATTTTAACATAGAAAATAGAGTGAATCTTATTTAAATCAATTAATAACAGTTTGAGACGACAATAAATATAAATATAAATATAAAATATAATATGAATAATAAAAATTAAAGTACATCGTTAACTATTAAAATTTATATAAATATAAAATGTTTTAAATAATATATAGAGTTTAGTTTAATGGGGAGAGTGAACAATTATTGCCTTTGCCTTTAAGAAAATAGAATCCAACTTTAGACTTGGCCACCCTGTCCGGGGTTGGCGGTGGTGGTCGGTGTAGGCGGCGCTGGCCTGACCGATGTGGTTGGACTTGGACCAATACAATACCGAGAAAAAATAGGAATTTCTATTTTCCATTTTCTTGTTTAAAATCTATATTACCGTTATACCCTTATTCTCCCTTTAAACTTTTCAAGTAAAGTGAGAGAAGACAGTATTCCTCGAGAAAGAAGGGTTTCACGAGATTAAGGCACCAAAGTAAAGTATACACATGAAATATCGATTATTATATATTATTTTATTTAATCTTCGATTATTAAATATTATAAAATAATATTTAATTATAAGATATTATTTTGTTAAGTATCTCGATTATTAAAAGTTATAAAATAGTAACTCGACTATTTTTATGTTTTAAACTTTTTTAAAATTGATTCGGCGACATAATATTTCAAGAATTGACACAACGACATAATGTAAATAGAGATTTGATCTATAAAATACAACTTAAACAGTTCTGAGATTAGATTTTATCATATCTTAATGAGTATGTTAACGTCTAACTCAAACAACCGTTAATATTTTTAAAAAAATGACGAATTTGGAACATATGAATAATTGGACGAATATTTTATAACTTTCAATAGTCGAATGACCATTTTATAACTTTTAATAATAAAAAGACTTAGCAAAACAATATCGTATAATTGAGACCATTTGTGCATTTTATACTAAAATCTTATTATTAGTATCCCGTTAAAAAATTTCTCAAATTAAAAAAATTAAACCTGGACTTGAGCCTTATTAGATATAATTGCCGTATATGATATTTATATATCAGACCTTAAATTATAATTAATTTTTTAAATTTTTAAATATTTTATAAATTATAATTGCCGTATAATTATTTTGTCATGTTGTTATTTTTTTTCTGTTACAAAATTTATTTTATCCATAATATGTTTATTTATTTTTTATTTGTAGTTTTTTAATAATATAAAATAATTACAAGATAACATATATTTAAATTTTTTCTTAATTTATTAATAACACACATAATATAAATATAATTACTTAAATTTAAGTATCTATATAGAACAACATTCTTTCTTAGAAGTTTTTCCATTTTTATTTTTATAGGTTTATAATTTATTTTTAAAAAAACAATATATATTTTATATTTATATTGTATTACATTTTTATAAGTTTTTACTCTCATTATATTTTAAATATTTCTTCTGTATTCTTTTGTTCAACGTCTAAAATTGCTCGATGTGAAAGTTTTTAGCATTTCTTGGACCGTTTCCTTTCAGTTTCTTAAAATATTTAAAAATCAAATGAAAATATTAAATTCAAATTGCCACGTGTTCTGTACTTGTCGAGCATTTAACCATAGTAAGAGATTTTTTTATTAATGTATGGTGTAACACCCCAACCCGTATCCGACCCGGATACGAGTCCGAAGTGTCACATTGACTTTTCAAACCTTGACTCTTAAGAAAAATCCCGGGAAATTTAAAACTTTATTTAAAACAAAATACAGACTTTATCAGAGTGCTCGTACTTAATGACTTATTACATGCCAACACTTTATACATAAACAAATACATACTTTGTCAAACATTTCTGATCTGATCTTTTGGTAAGGAAACTGACCTGTCTTGCTCCGCATCACTCTTTACTCTTCTCGAAACCTACGTGTGAAACAATCACACGCTAAGTCGAAGACTTAGTGAGGCATAACGACTTATAATACACTTTCAAACATATATCGATACATGCATGTTCTTTTCTATCATGTTATAGCAATTCCATGCATTCTTCGTATCATATAAAATCATATCAGATTAATTACAGTAAATACATACAGACACATAATTCATCATATGGTTCACGTAACACATTTCACATATACACTTTCATATCACATGCCATATAAGCTCATAGCTTCTTTCACATATACATGTAGTCACATAGCTTCTTTTCATATTCTCATAGGATCACATAGTTCATATCTTATACTTTGTTTTCTCATGTTCACATATATCATGTCGTATGGCTCATATCTTTCTCATGCAGTCACATAGTTCAGTTTCACATATGTTCATATATATACATTACATAGCACATACTTCTCGTAACATTACATTCAAAAGCATGTTAACACATATAATCATGCATACATACAATTCATGTCATTCATATACGTATAATCATATATTCATGCATTCTAACAGAGGAAATAGACTTGTCGCAAGTCCTGTTTCCATTTAGCACCATAAACTAATTAATATGCACTCACCTGGCCTCACTAGTCAATTCCAATCTCTTATCTTTCCCCTTGATCGATCTTACTTGCCAAACGTTCCGGAATTCTTTATGCGTAGAATCTACATAAATGTACATTTCGAGGTAATCATTAGATACCTACACCTTGTAATTGAATACTAGCAACTTAAACGAACTTATTAAACCAATATTAACATTTTTCTTTAGGGGGAATCGGTTCCCCCCTATGGGGTATCGATTCCCTCCAGACATTCTGGAATTCTGTCGTTTGAAGGGGTATCGGTTCCCCTTGAATGGGTACCGATTCCCCTTGCCCAGAAATCATATTTTCAACCCGAAAATTACTTCATTTCCTCTCAAACACTTCATATATCATCCCCTTTTCATTCTTAACTCTAGTACACATACTTAACCCAATCTATATTCATTTATTTCATCTTAAACCTCAAAATCCTATCTTCCATATGAGATTCAAAAATCATACCAAATTTTCAATATGTTCTAAATCCAATTATATCACTCCAAATCTCTTAATTTAACCATTGACAAGTCAAATTTAACTTCAAATTCTACTTATCAATTCTTTTCCAAAGTTTCATATAAAAACTCCAAATCTTTAATCTCTCATAACCCCTCCATCATTTGTTTTTAAGATGATTTAAGCTTTCCTTAAGCTTAGTTATCATCTAATAATCAAAACCCAACCTTAAAATCAACAATTCATTTACAAACAAAGAAACTTACCTTTTGTAGCTAGCCCCACGTGAAGAAGAGAAAGCAAGAAGAAGAAAGCTTCCAGATAGCTCTCTTCCCACGTTTTTCACTCTTATAAAAGGGGGAAGAATATATTTTAAAGGAAAAGACCATAATACCCTTAATTTCCTTTAATAATTACCAAATAACCTTCAATATATATATTCAAATAATCATTGAATTATTTCATTCTTCTACTTTAGTCATCAAATTCTGAAACTTTACAATTTGATCACTAACCCGGTATTGAGGATGTTACATATGGTGCATAGATAAGATGAAGAAGTTAATATGTACCAAGAAAAATAAAGAAATTAATTTTAAATTGAAAAAAAAATAAATTACCGTATAATGAATTAATATACATAATATATTATATTTTATCTTAAATATCTTATTTTTTATACTGATAAAAAATTGAATTTTAGATTATATTGTATTTTTATAATAATTTTACATTAATACAAAAAATAATAAATTTACAATAACCTAATACAACTTATACATGAAACAAAAGTTATTTATTAGCTAAAAATTAAATTATGAATTAATATTTTATTTCTGATGTGTGTGTATACATATACTATATACAAATTAAATATCGAGGTTCAATAATGGTGTTTTTGGGATTAAATTTTAAAATAATATTGTTTTATTATTATTTCACTAAACATTTTTTTACGATGAATTCAATTACGGTGATAACCGATATGTTTAATGTAATATTTAAAATTATTATTTTACGATTAATAAAACAAATTTTATAGAGGATAAACTTAATTATGATGAGAATCGAGTTTTTAAATATAATATCCAAAACAATGATTTATCATCACTAAATAAATTTAACTATGATATTAATCGTATTCTTTAATATATTTGTGAAGTATTCGACTATGATTATAATCGTATTTAAATAATAATGCTTCAATAAATTTTAGTTGCCTCTTAAGTTGAAACTACAAGAAATATTTTTCCATAAAAATTATATAAATTTAAATTTAATCAGAGTTAAATTTTCAATAAAAGGGACTATTATGAAAATAATAATAAAATGATTCTACATAAAATTATATGTAGTATATATTTTAAATTAATATATAAATGTTGAATTAAAAATAATCAATGAATTATCTATTATTAAAGCAAGTTAATCAATTTTTGTAAAAGAAACAAAGTACTATTCAATGTTCTTACCGAGCACAAAGATTCTGAGACATAAAACAAGGAAATATGTTTGTAAAACGATTAAAAAGCCGTCGAGAAAGGCAATAACCCTTTTTGATTTGCATATTCCATTTTTAATGTGAATTAATTGCTATTATCATATTTTTCCTGAGAAAATTTTAACTCTGTTGTCACTGTACTCTTAATTCATCTTTTAACTTTTTCTACTTGCATTATTAATTAATTAATTATTAATGAGATTTTACAGTTCATTTTGAGTATTTTTTTATAAATAATTTTGGTTGCCATTAGTGATAAGCACGACTGGCACTGGCAGTCATCATTCCCTTTCAATTCCCTCAACCCTTTTCTCTCTCTTTTGTTCCTTTCCCTATCTTCAGTTCATGCGTTGTTTCGCCGTCTAAAGCTTCCATTCCCCTTTCAATCTACTCCTTTTTGGGTTTGTTTTTTTACCCCCAAAACACTCTCATATGTTTTTTCTTTGATTTTTTTGGATCTGGGTTCTGCTTGCTTTCAGATTCTCATTTTCAACTTCAACACCAGGTAATTGTTATTTTTATCGTTTTTAATTTTTGTTCTGCTGGTTTTTGGTATCTGGGTATTTTGAATTGAAGTTCTATCTGCTAAATTCAAGAAGATATATTAGCTTCAATTGTGTATTTTCTGGACTGGGGAGTTTTTATAAAGTTGGAGCATTTTGGTGTTTAAAGATTTGATCTATTGGTTGATGGTGTGGTGGGGGTTTAAAAGAGCAGCTCATTTTTGATGAATTAGCTTCATTTATATGCCTGATTTTTGCTGAGTAGGAACTGATTTTAGGGAGCGTAATTTAGCTATGTTTTTATTTTCTTTTCTTTTGTGAATTTTCAATAAAAATATGACCTTTTTTTCATTTCCATGACACTGAATTTCGATATATGGGGAACTATAAAATCTAAAACACAGTGATGGAATGTTGGATTTCCCAAAAAAAAAGGAAATTCTTTTTTTTTTCCTGGGTTTGGGAAACATGGATCTAGAGGACTGAACAGTCAAACAAACGGTCTGCTTTATCAAATGGAATTCCATGACAGCCTAAGCTTGGTCTTAGCTGATTTATTTATGAATATCTTTGAGTTGATCGTATTCGAATGCTACCCAAGCTAAAATTAGCTCTATGGTTTAAAATGGGACTAAAAATTCCAATTAGAGCTGATAAAGAAAAGAGAAAGGGGGATTTATAGGCGTTGGAACTTGGGATTATGAGTCGTTAATGTCTGAACTAGTTCGACAGATTTAACTATTGTTACTCTTACCGGCCAGTAGCTATTTTGGGTCCATAATGAAGAATTTTGTAGATATTTCACCTTTTTCAGAAAAAAATAAAAAAAAGGAAAGAACAATGAAGCTACATGCTCGTCCTTTTGTGGCAATCAGATAAGAGATGTGGGTGGTTTCTGTTAATTTTTTATAAAGTGTTTGATGTGAAAGTGTAATACAGTGACAGATTCTGTACATTTAAGAATTGGCTTTGTAGAGTGGTACAAGACATTCTTCCACTTAATGAATAACTAATATGAATAGAGGATCCAAATTTAACTGATGCTTAAATTTTTTGCTTCTAAAATCATGTTGAAATCCCATTTATCATGATCGGATGTGGTGGGATATTTGGTCATTAGAAAACATTGCTTCCAACATAATCAGGAATCAAGTGTATCTGGATTCTATTATCTCCATGTTTGATTTTTTATTCAATAAATTTGATTACTTTTTCGATAGCAATACCATGAACAATGTCGTGAGAGAATGTTATTTTTTTCTTTTCCATATAATTAATGGTGAAAATTATGTTTCAGGTTAAATCTATTACTTCCTTCAAACTTAAGACCCAGAAGATCAAAACATAAATTTAAAGCTGCATAAGAAGTATGGCGGTTTCCATGAGAGATTTAGATCCTGCTTTTCAGGGAGTCGGGCAAAAAGCGTATCCTTTACTTTTGAAACTTGCTGTGTTACATGGATCATCATCCTGATTGTTTATTGTTATTTAGATCGATATTCAATATACATTTTTTGTTTAGGTTGTATGCTTAGTGTAGGGTTAGAGTTTATAGATAGCAATCTGCTGCTGTTTTAATCTTGGGTATATTTGCTTTTGAGTTGCTCTTCTTCATGAATTATTCTCCTTAACAGTGTGAAGCGGAATTGAAATCTGGCGCATTGAGAACTTCTGCCCTGTTTCAGTTCCGAAGTCATCTCATGGCAAATTTTTCACAGGCGATTCCTATGTTATTTTGAAGGCAAGTTATTTTGTTAGGAAGGATCGTATTAGATTTTAGATATTGCATGCTTCTATTGGCACCAAAATTTGAAGCTTTTGGACTCATTTTTATTTTTAATGCAACCACTAAAGGCAATGGTAATTCAGAAAACAATCTGTTGGAGGATTTTAATGACCATGTTATAAGCATTTGGCTAATGTTCTAGTTTCATTCCCATTGGGTTTATTTATAAAAACAAAGTACTCATATATACTTGAATATACTTGTAGTTTGAGGCTTTAATATGCATCTAAGTTTTCCTTATCAGATTAATGTTATTTTATTTTACTATTTTTTTCTTGGCCCAGACAACTGCCTTAAAAAGTGGTGCCTTGCGTCATGATATCCACTACTGGCTCGGTAAAGATACATCCCAGGTAAACCTTGTTCTCTCTAAAGTCATTTTTCTTGTTCAACTCTTGACATTTTAGTAAGTACGGATTGAATTTCAAAACTAAAAGGAAATAGTAGATAAATTTTTTGACCACAACTCGTTTAACATAGGATGAAGCAGGTGCCGCTGCAGTCAAGACTGTTGAACTTGATGCTGCCCTTGGAGGGCGTGCTGTTCAATATCGTGAAGTCCAGGGCCATGAAACTGAGAAGTTTCTTTCCTATTTTAAGCCATGTATCATACCCCAGGAAGGTGGAGTAGCATCTGGGTTCAAACATGTTCAGGAAGAGGAACATAAGATACGTTTGTTTGTCTGTAGAGGCAAACATGTTGTCCATGTAAAAGAGGCAAGTCTTTTGACCTCATTTATCTTCTAAGGACTAACGATGCTCTTTCTTGAGTGCAATTCAATACTTTTCTTTCAAGAAGTTGGATGACATGTGTCAAATGGCAGGTTCCATTTGCTCGATCCTCACTTAACCATGATGACATCTTTATACTGGATACAAAGTCTAAAATATTTCAATTTAATGGCTCCAATTCATCCATTCAAGAGAGAGCAAAAGCCCTAGAAGTTGTACAATACATTAAAGATACTTATCATGATGGGAAATGTGAGGTAGCTGCCATTGGTGAGTAAACCAACAGATACAGATCTTGAAGGAAGGGAATAATTAGATAAATGGAGTGAAAAGTGGATACTTGTATATAAACTAATAGATTCTGTCCTATTACTCGATGCAGAGGATGGAAAGTTGATGGCCGATGCTGAGACTGGAGAATTTTGGGGATTCTTTGGCGGCTTTGCTCCACTTCCAAGGAAGACTGCTAGTGATGAGGATAAACCTATTGAGGCTCATCCTGCCAAGCTACTTAGGTAATTTTTATTCTTGGTTTGGCGATGGTGATTATGGCCATTCAATGTTTGGTTGATTACCTCAACAAATGCAATTTTTTGCTTTCTCTAGATAGACCAACTAGTTATCTTTGAGTGAAAGAAAATAGGGCCTTCTTTTGGGTCCTATGATTTTGTAGTTTGAAAAATGCTCTCATTCTATCATGTTTGCTTTTCAAGTGTTGAGAAGGGGCAGGCAAAGCCTGTTGAAATTGATTCCTTGACGAGGGAGTTGTTGGACACAAATAAATGCTATGTTTTGGATTGTGGGTTCGAAGTGTTTGTATGGATGGGGAGAAATACTTCTCTTGATGAAAGAAAGAGCGCAAGTGGAGCAGCTGAGGTAGTAGCTGTCTAAGGTGATTTAGACTAACTTTTATTAGGATTTCTCATTCACTCCTTTTGCATTGTTGGTGTTACCGAGCAGGAGTTAATCCGTGGTTCTGATAGACCAAAATCCCAAATAATTCGTATAATTGAGGGGTTTGAGACTGTTTTATTTAAGTCAAAGTTTGAGTCCTGGCCCCAGACCACTAATGTTGCTGTTACTGAGGATGGTAGAAGCAAAGTTGCTGGTCAGTAACTGAAATATCTTGCAATTTTGTTGTTTTTGCAGTACAAACTGTACTTGCTTAATATTTTTACCATCTTAGTCATGACATAATAATTATGTTTCCACTTGAAACATCAACATATTTCAATGGTTTTTGTAGCACTTTTACGACGCCAAGGGCTGAATGTCAAGGGTCTAGCAAAAGCTGCTCCAGTGAAGGAAGAACCCCAACCGTATATTGATTGCACTGGAAATTTGCAGGTATGTTTATACTTATATTGTTTATGTATATTTTCCTATGTGCTGAATCTTTGTATGCATCGTGATCCTTTACTGCGATGCTTCCCAGAAAGTGGAGCTAGAAATTTTATCTTGGGGGGTGTTGCACTGACATTAAAGTAATACATACTTGAATATGATTGAAGTTAAAAATAAAAACTGAAAACAGTATTTTTTTTTGAAATAAAACTGAAAAAAGTAAATTCAGATATAAGGTAACATTTTTTGTTATTAACATTAGTAAGAAACTGTCTTCCTAAATATTTGTCATCAATTTGTTTATTTGATTTGATTGGAAAGAACAATTCATGATACGAATTAATGGTCATGTGCATTAATATTTATACTATACAAATGTAGAAAAAAAAGCTACCATTTGGTTGTTAGACTGAAGATCTGCCGCCATTCGAAGCTGTTGAAGAACATTACTAACTCATCTTTTTGGTTCTGATGAGGGGCTTATATCACTGTTAAGAGTTTTGTTTGTTCTGTCTTTAGGCATGTTATCTTGCTTAAACATACAGCAAGCTTAGTTCCTATGTAGCAGTTTCCCACCCTCCTGCATTTGGATTAATAAACATTTTACTTATCCAAAAAAGGTGAAAGAGGAAGTTAAATAATTATTTTTTTGAAGGAAAATGAAGTTGGTAATTGTGTATGACAAATTATGAATTACTATGTCAGTTACAAATTTCACATGAGCTTTGAATTTTCATACTGTGAAGTTGGGAATACATCTTGCTGAGTCTTCAAAAGATAAGGGGCAGGGTTGGCCCCCACCAACCCCTTGTATAGCCAAATGTCTTGTATAGCCAAATGAGTGATATTGGTATCTTATTTCATGGAAAATTACTGTTCTACTTTTGCAATGATCGATGGTTTTTTTGGACTGCATTTAATGGATAATCTCTCTTTCTTATATACTAACCATGATTAGATAATGGTTCAAAATGGTGCGGCTGGATTCGTAAATGTGTTACTACAGCTTCGGTGTCTGTTTTAGTTAATGGTGTCCCTACGGATGAATTTGCTATGGCTAGAGGTCTTAGGCAGGGCTGTCCCCTTTGTTGTTTAATGTTGTTGGAGAGCTCTTAAATTTACTGCTTGTAAAGGCAGTTGCTGAGGGTTTGTTTTCTGGTCTGGTGGTTGGCAAAGATGAGGCTTTTCTGAATTTATCTCATCTGCAATTCGCAGATGATCTTATAATTTTCTGTAATGCTTCGAAGACACAGATTCTTAATGTTAAGATTATTCGGGTTTTCGAAGTAATGTCAGGCCTTAGACTTAATCTCACTAAGAGCAAATTATTTGGTATTAATATCAGTGAGGATGAGTTAACGTAGTGGGCTAATGCTGTTGGGTGTTTAGTTGGGCACTTCCCTTCGGATTATCTGGGATTGCCGCTTGGTGCTAGGAGGAATTCTATTCTTTTGTGGGATCCGATCGTCCAGAAATTTTATAAAAAGTTAACCGGATGGAAGGCTAAGACTTTGTCTTTGGCAGGGAGAGTGGTTTTATTGAAGTCCGTCTTGTGCTCCCTACCCATCTATTTCATGTCCTTGTTCAAAATTCCTTCCTCGGTAGTTACAAAACTAAATTCCATCATGGCCAGTTTTTTATGGGGAGGAGGGGCAGTGGTTAAAATAATTCACTGGATTAATTGGTCTACAGTATGCTCTGCTAAAAAAGTTGGTGGTCTTGGCGTTTTGGATCTTAATCTTATGAATAGAGCCCTACTAGGTAAATGGTCGTGGAGGTTTGCAAATGATAGGGAGTCGGTGTGGAAGAAGGTAATCTGCAGTAAGTATAATCTGGACATTGGATCCCTGTTTTTCAAGGATAATCTCCCTTCTCATTCTTCTTGAATCTGGAAATCAGTAGATCATAACCATTTCAATGAGGATCAGTTTGGAGCCAGGCTTCGAAATCAGTTCAAAGTTCGAGTGGGGAATGGTGAGAGAATCAGTTTCTGGTTTGATAGTTGGGCGCTTGACTTCCCTTTAAAAGATGTTTTCCCGAGACTGTTTGTCCTCTCTTTAAACAGGGATGGGAAACTTAATGAGTATGGAGAGTTTCGATCATCTATTTGGTCTTGGCATGTTCAATTGAGAAGAAATTTGAGTGACTGGGAGCTGAGTCAGTTTACCGATTTATTGGCTATAATTCACAATATAACTCTTTCTTCTGAGTTGTCTGATGGGTTGGTTTGGAGAGGGAACAGAGAAGGAATTTATTCTGTTAAATCCAGTGTGAAGTCTTGCTGTCCTGTTTCGACATCAGACCCTTTTTGGATGAATAACATTTTGATGGGTTTGGTGCCTCCTAGGGTGGAGGTCTTCTTGTGGAAGGTGGTGCACAACAAACTGCCTGTTAAACAATAACTTCTAAGGAGAGGAGTCTCCTCTATTGTTGATGTTGCTTGTCCCTTTTGTAAAAAAGGAGGCCGAATCTTCTTCTCATTTATTTTTCACTTGTGTTGTGGCATGGACTCTTTGGAACAAGTTTTTGAAATTCTGGGGAGTGTGTTCGGCTTTGCAGGACAATGCTAAAAGTTTTATGGTTGCTTGGAAAGATATGGTGTTAGATTCTAAAATCTGGTCCTTCATTCCGGGAGTGGTTATATGGACTATTTGGAAAAGTAGAAATGACATTGTGTTTGATGGGGGAAGGGTAGATCAGACTGATCTGTTCTTTATGGCAAGGTGCAGATTGGCTAATTGGTTTTTAGCAAAATTTAATGATGTTTCTATTATGAAGGACTCTCTCATTTCTGATCCTACTCTTGGGGACTATTGCTTCTCTTCAAGGTCTTCGATCATCAAAACTGTGTCTTGGTCTCCTCCTCCAAATGGTTTTATAAAACTGAATGTGGATGCAGCAGTGAGTGGTGATTGGAGGAAAAGTGGTGTTGGTGGCATTCTTAGATTGGAGGATGGCTCGGTGAAGGGCTCTTTCCTAGAGGCTGCTGGTCCAGGTCCTCCGCTGTTGGTGGAGATTTTGGCAATTAAGAATGGCTTATCTTTCTTTGTCTCTTTTCTTCCGAGGGTTCAGGATCGTTTAATTGTTGAATCTGATAGTAAACGAGCAGTGGAGTGGGTCAAGAACTATGATCGATGTCCTGTTGTCTACAGAGTTTTAGTGAGAGATATTGGTCTTTTGCTAAGAGATTTAAATGGTATTATTAGATGGGTTCCTAGATCAGCTAATGTTGAGGCTGACAGTTTAGCTAAGGCCGGTATCGGTTAGTTCTCGTTTCTCTAGATTCTATTAGCCTTTGGGTTTATTATTGTAAGGGAGAGTTTTGTTGTTAAACATTATGTAACTTTTGATTATTTATGGTTATTAAGGCACTCTTTTCCTCCTTCCGCTGACTAATTAACGAGGCCTAACTTCTTATCAAAAAAAAAAACCATGATTAGATAAGGCGGCAGTGGTGCTTGTCTTTCCATGCTTGGGACATAATATATGTATCTCAGTGACTTTGGGTTTGAAGCCAGTTTAATGATGATAGTATTGATCTGTGGCTGTGCAGGTTTGGCGTGTGAATGGCCAGAAAAAAGTTCTCCTTCCAGCTTCTGATCAGTCAAAATTTTACAGCGGGGATTGCTATATTTTTCAATATTCTTATCCTGGAGAAGACAAAGAAGAGTATCTCATAGGAACATGGATTGGAAAGCAGAGTGTCGAGGTAATTAAGTATTCTTTGACTGTCTTTTGTCTCAATTTTCAAAACTGTTGAGTGCCATAATGCTTTCACTTCCTGTGACAAAACTATCTTTTGTCCAAAACAGGAAACACGCATATGTACCATGGATGATAATTTTCCTACTATAAATATATGTTATTTGCTGTGTGTTTGTCTTTATCATGATTCCTTTTCCTACAATGTTTGTGTTAGGGTTGTTACTCTTCTGATCACGAGTTTTTGCTTAACAGGGAGAAAGAGTTTCCGCAATCTCTTTAGCAACCAATATGGTTGAAGCATTGAAGTTCCAGGCTACCCAGGTAGCTTTCTTTTAAATAGAGCATTGTTCTTTTGCTGTATGTTTCTATTTTCCTTCTGATGTTATCTTAACTGATTAACAGGCTTGCATCCACGAAGGAAGTGAACCCATTCAATTCTTTTCTATCTTCCAGAGTTTTATTGTGTTCAAGGTTTGAGAAATTTTGATTCACAACTTTTACTTCCTTCAATAGATACTTATGTTTTTAGGTTTTCCCTAGATGATTCGGTTATGTAAAATTCATCAGGGTGGTCGTAGTGAGGGATACAAGAATTATATTTCTGAGAAGGAAATTCCAGATGGCACATACACAGAAGATGGTCTTGCACTGTTCCGGGTTCAGGGTTCTGGACCTGATAACATGCAAGCAATACAAGTCGAAGCAGTATGTCCAAATTTCATCTACTATCTTTGTTTCCTTAAGAACTTGTAATACTATGATCCTGATAGAACTAATTTTTATGGGAAGTGTAAAATCTCCACCTGACTACGGTTGGGTACTTGTTTTTATTGTTTTTTTAATTCTAAAAAAGGTGACTGTACCTTGTTTTGCCTTTTCCTTGACCGGACAATGTGAAAGCACAAGTCCCAAAACAGTTGCTATTATAAATGCAAAAATATAACCTGTTCTGCAGTATGTTAATTGTTTGTAGGATGGAACTTATGCTCTCTTCCGTTTTTTCTGTATTTGACTTCTATCAGGTCGCGTCATCTTTGAACTCCTCCTACTGTTACATATTACATAGTGATTCCACCATATTCACTTGGGCTGGAAACCTAACTTCCCCTGATGACCATGAGCTTGTTGAGAGAAAACTAGATATCATAAAGGTATGTTTTATATTTTGAACTTCCTTCCTGGAACTTCATTTTATTAGTGTGGGTAAATGGGTAGTTCCCCTTTATTGTTTTGAATGTTATGATTCACTTTGGGTTCAGTTATTTGAGTTTTTGATTTGATTAATGTTCATGTTTATTTCGTTGATATTCCTTGGGTTTTTTATTGGCTTATGCTACCCTTCTGATAATCTCCAGCCCAATTTACAATCCAAGCCACAAAAAGAAGGATCGGAATCTGAACAGTTTTGGGAGTTGCTCGGAGGAAAATCCGAATACCCGAGCCAAAAGATTGCAAGGGAACCTGAAGGTGATCCTCACCTATTTTCCTGCTCAAAAGGTATGGATAACTCTTTAATTGTTATATGGTTATTCATGGTATCTTAATTCTAGATAAGTAAAATGTTTATTCATATTATAATTTTCTAATTTCTTGTCTTTCTTCATTGCCATGTTTAATTGCAAATTGTACCTCAATCTGCAGGGAATCTTAAGGTGCGTATCTACGTCTCCACTACTTTCTAAACTTGCAGTATAAATCCTTATCCCAAAAAAACAATGCTAAAATATGGAAAACAATGTTGTACATTCTTGTCTTTTGTTTGCACCGTTGGCTTCAACTTAAATTTGTTTGCAGGTGACGGAGATATATAACTTCACCCAAGATGATTTAATGACTGAAGATATATTCATCCTAGATTGCCACTTGGATATCTTTGTCTGGGTCGGACAAGAGGTTGATACCAAGAATAAATTGCAGGCCTTGACCATTGGTCAGGTAAGATCAACTGATATATAGGTGGACTGTTGTTGCACTGTATTTTTTGAGTGCAACCACATATGCTTAAATCGTAAAACTTAAATCCTAATGTAAATAGACTTTTCCTTGGTCAGTTCATACAGTATCTTTTAGGAACTTGAAATAGATTGTGGCAGAGTATTGCCACGGGTGTTCTTACTTTTCCTTCTGTTGTTGCTCAGAAATTTCTTGAGCTGGATGTTCTCCTAGAAAATTTGTTCCATGAAGCTCCGATCTACATAATCATGGAAGGGAGCGAGCCACCCTTCTTCACACGTTTTTTTGCATGGGATTCTGCAAAGTCCGCGGTAAGTATATTTACCACTACTCCGGAAGTGCTCATGATTGATATAATATCTTTGCAAGGATCTTAGTGTTTTTACTTCCTTGCAGATGCATGGAAACTCGTTTCAAAGGAAACTTACCATTATGAAAACCGGCGGTACACCAGCAATTGATGTAAGACTTCACTTTAGTCTGTGTCATAGTAGTTGAAGTTTCACTGCTCTCAATACCGAGTGACCAGTATCCATGTTTCACTCTTCGTTTTCCTTGGAAGTATTCATGCTTGACACTCGTGTCCAAAGCGTATCCAGATATAGATATGGGAATATGAGTGTATGACTCTCAAGAGACTTTCTAATTACATGGGAAAACTTAAAAAAAAATAAACATACTCATATTCGACATTCACATTTAATGGAGTCCGAGTAACATAGCATGTTTGTACGTTTGTGTTCTTGTTACTACTTTAACAATTGTATTTGGAGTTAATTCTCTGATTACCATCATATTACATGTTTAGAAACCCAAGCGGAGAACACCTGTATCACATGGTGGAAGGTCTAGTAGTGTGCCAGATAGATCACAACGTTCGAGAAGTATGTCCTTCAGCCCTGAACGAGTTCGTGTGAGGGGAAGGTCTCCTGCTTTCAATGCACTAGCTGCTGCATTTGAGAATCCCAATGCTAGAAACCTTCCTACTCCACCCGTGGCTAAAAAACTGTATCCAAAATCTGTGACTCCAGATTCTGCAAAGAAATCTGCAGCGATAGAAGCTATTACTGCATCTTTCGAACGACCACCACCAGCTCGAGAGACCATCATACCTAGAGCCGTGAAAGGTATGCGATTTCTATGTTTGGAGATAAAATCATGTTATTTTCTTATTTGTACTCAAAACCGCTAGTATGTTTCTTGGTGAAGTGAGCCCACCAACACCCAAATCAACACCAGAGCCTAACTCTAAGGAGAATTCCATGAGCAGCAAACTAGAATCCCTTACTATACAAGAAGATGCCAAAGAGGGTGAGGCTGAAGACGAGGAAGGCCTTCCAATATACCCTTATGAACGTCTCAAAATAACATCGACTGATCCCATTTCTGAAATAGATGTGACCAAGCGAGAGGTATAGTTTTAAGATGGCATTATGTTCTAGGCATTTATGAATCATTTCTTCTCCAAGACTCATAGTCGAAATATGCACAGACGTACCTGTCATCCAAGGAGTTCAAGGAGAAGTTCGGGATGAAAAAGGATGCATTCTATAAGTTGCCTAAGTGGAAACAAAACAAGCTAAAAATGGCTCTTCAACTGTTCTAAGGCCCTTTTGATTCATCATCTATTTATCACAACTCCCTGCAAATGAGAGTGCAGGTGGAACAAAACATGCTTGCAAATTTGCACAAGTTCTTTTCATTTTTCATCAAGTTTGCTTCTTTTTTTTAATCTTAAATTGAATCCGCATATCACTCTAACTGCACCATTTTGTTCGGCAGCAGTGGGAAAAACCCGAACCCCGTTTTCGCAGGATCGAAAAAGTGGGACAGCATCAGTGCATATTTAGCTGCTTCTGCTCCCCTATGAAGCTTTTGGTTTTCTTTTTTGGTCATTGATAGACATATTTGGATTTCAACCCTTCCCCCCCCTCATGTGGTGGTTTGAATGTCTAGAAAATTCTTCCCTTTTTTTCATTTGTTGTCTCTGGTTGAGTTAGCTTATGGGTATTCTTTATGATTGTGAGGTTTGTATTTTTGCATTTTTTTAATTTATTTTTTTGGGTGTCCAAAATAATAAAAAAATAGAACAAATATTGGGAGTTTGCAAATGCCAGACAATTTAGGTTGTATTTTTGTAAACTTTGAGGATGAAAAGTTTGTACAGCAGAGTGTAAGAACCAAGAACTAGTTCATTGTCTTTTGTTTTGAATAATAAAAGTGTGCTTATTATTATTATTACTATTATTATTTAGATTTAAAGAATATATCTTTGGGAGGCCTTAAATTTCCCAATTTTAAACTTCTTTAAGAGAGAAATGTTGCATGTTTACTACTATGTTAATCTTGTTCATATATTCGAATTCGAGTCGCATAAAATCATCACATTTAGCTTAGTGGTCATTAAAATCAGGCTGAACCTCTGCATCCATAATGACACCAACCATAACTCGCACATGTTTTCCTCTTGGACTTCACACCTTTAACAGCAGAGCTCCTCCAACATAGCTCGAAACGAACAACTCGAACTGCTACAACGAATCATATTATACCTCTATTGACAGGCACCATGCCTAGCATGCGAGGGATCACCGCACATGTATCATTCATCTTCTTTCTGATGAGACTATCGTCCATGTTAAACTTTAAATTGTGTTCGAAAGTAGTCAATGGTAATACCTGCGTGCGAGAGACTTTTGAGCACGATTTGAAGTTTAATAATGTACCTAACACACGAGAAATCACCTGGCACGTGTAGTGTTCATCTTCTCTCTAAGATTGGATTTTAGAAGCATGAGACAATGGTGATAATGGGATTTTAGAAGCATGGGACATAGAATGATGGCCAGAGACCTTGGTATTAGGATGTTCTGATGGTGGCATCGAGGAAGAGTAAGAGAATTGATGGTGACTCGAGGTGTTAATGAAAGATGGCATAACAATGGAGTATTTGTAGATTAAATTGATAGTCTGTAAATAAAAGATTAAATTAATTGAATTATTTTTAATAAGGGTAAAATACACGTTTGGTAACTGAACTTTCTCCTATTTTACTCCTTGTACTTTCAATTTTTTTCATTTTACTCACTGAACTTTATAGATTGAATTTTTCTAGTCGCTCCGTCGTTAAATAATTAACCCGCGTTATGACACGAAGAATTGCATCAAAACGATGTCGTTTTGAATTCTTAAAAAAATTAAATTTTAGACTAAAACGATGTCGTTTTGATTAAAATACGACAATGTCATAACGAGGTTAATATTTTAACAGCAGAGTGACCAAAAAAATTCAATCTATAAAGTTTAGTGAGTAAATTGAAAAAAATAAAAGTACAATGAGTGAAATAGGAAAAAGAGTGAAGTTCAGTTACAAACGTGTAGTTTACCCTTTTATTAAAGATCAAATTAATCGTAAACAATAGGAATTAAATGTATTATTATATCAAGTTTAAAATCATGTCAATAATGAACAGTGATTTGATTGATATCAAAATAAAAATTGATGACTTAATTGATTATTATTTTTATTTAATGAAGAATAAAAACGACGTCGTAATCTAAATAAGTAATTTATCTTCAGCCAGAGTGGATTGGGTAGGCTGGGGTATTGGGCCAATGGTGGCCATTTAACAGTTCCGCCAAACCTCCATGGGTGGCGGCCAGTTGTGTAGTAGATTCAAAGCTTCGTCGTTATCGAGTAAAATTATAAATCAAGAAATTCAAGCAAAAAATAGTGTAAGAGCCAGAAGAGTAAAGCGTAAAGAAACAAGATTGACATAGTTGAAAATTTCCTGGCTTCCACTACTTAAATTCAACCAGTTCACAAGAAGGCAAACCACCAGACTTCGATTTTCTTTTTCAATTTCTCACCAGCAGAGATTCTATGTCGAGCGAGAGAGTAGCTGTTGAGTTGGCCAAGGGCGTTAATGGCCTCGATAAGATCATCCTCCGCAATACTCGTGGAAGCTCTGCCGAGGTAATTTTATAAGACTTTCGGTTTCTTTTTCTTCTTTTTTTTGGCAGATTTTATTTATTTATTTATGGATCTGTTCAATCTGATCTGCGTTAGTGTTTTTTTTCTTTCATTTCTTTGAATTTTTTTTTCATAGATCTTTCACTGTTTAATACTGTTTCGAGTTGCCTCTTAGGTGTATCTGTATGGAGGCCATGTGACATCTTGGAAGAATGACCATGGAGAGGAGTTGCTTTTCGTCAGTAGTAAGGTGCTTTTCAGTGACAGTAATTTTCTTGTCTAAATATGATGAATAGTGTTTATAATAAATTATTCAAGTCCTTTGAATCGATGCTTCATTTAGACCTAATCTTTTGTTTGTTCCAATGAAATTCCGCGTTTAATGCCTAATTGTTGATATTGCGAAAGAAAATCTTCATCTGTGGATTTATACTTTATTAACTTGTGAGTACTAGATTTAGGTGTAATGGTTCTAACGTCTCAGCCTCTCACGGATACTTATTTTTGTTAGTGCATTTATGGATATGATCTACTTCATCCTCTAATGGAAGCATATCTGCTTCCCCTGTTGCCTGTGGCAACTTGTGATCCGTCTATTTTTATTGTGGGCAATTGCAAAAGTTAGATAGAGTATGTATTTTATAGATTGTAAACATTTACGAACTATTTTTTAAAACATAAAGAGCTGATTCGTTGGTTATCGCAATAACATGAACCCATGGATTAACTGTTCAGAAAAACCAGATTACAGTAATGCAATGTTTAAAGAAATTGAATGAATTATATTACTTTCCTTGAAACTCCTTGCGCTATTATGAAATGAAGTGTTTCTGGAATTTTTAGGAAAACTTGCTGTTCAATAACTTATTTTGTTTGCTTGTCTTTCTTTTTCATTCCATTCAGTGACTATATAAGGTAGATGGGAGGAAGACATTTTTTGGTTTAATGAAATATAAAATGATAGTTGACTTTAAATTATTTTGGTGAATCTGCTTAACAAATAAGAAAAATGCATTAATCTATAGTTGCTGTTTAAAGTGATCACTTGCATGTGCAAATGCAAGTGTTTAAGAAGACAACAGTTGGAAGTTATGTGAATTTTTGTTTCTGATGTACTAAATACTTTTCTTCTGCAGACACTGTTCAAGCCTCCGAAGCCAATTCGTGGAGGAATTCCTTTGTGTTTCCCCCAAGTATGTGCAGATCTTGTATTGACCTACTTGTTTAGACCTTTATCATCCTGGTCATGAAAAAATGCTCTGTGTTTGCAGTTTTCAAATCTTGGTCCTCTTGAGTCTCATGGTTTTGCCAGAAATAAAGTTTGGAGCATTGACACAGACCCACCTGCTTTTCCAACAAATTCATCCAGTAAAGCACACATTGATTTGATCCTTAAGCCTTCTGAAGAAGATATGAAAATTTGGCCTCACAGGTAGTGTCATTTTTTAATATTTTAATTTCATTTCACAAAGAGAGATCCATATTCAAATCTTCATGGCATTATTTTCTTGATCAATTAACTTGTCCTCATGGCTGTCTTTTTTCTCAGCTATGAGTTTCGCCTGAGGGTAGCTTTGGGACCTGGAGGAGATCTAATGCTAACATCTCGCATCAGGAATACTAATAGTGATGGGAAGCCGTTTACATTTACATTTGCGTATCACACGTATTTTTCTGTTTCTGATATCAGGTAATTAGAAGGATTTGTTTTATATTTTAACTTTTCTGTGATAAGATGCTCTTTGGTGTTACTACTTTCAGGTTTATATATGCATATCTTGTAGTCATTTTTGCATAGGTCACACTATCTTCTTCCTTGTCTCCTTTTCATATCACAGTTCATTAACATCAACCGTTGACAGCTAAGCTATTATACTCCATCATTAGTGAGTTCTAACGAGTCAACTATCATTACTAGTGACGTCTTTCCTATTCCTAGTTCTAGTTTATTTCGGTCTAAAATTCCGTCTTCTATTGCAAGCATGTCTTCTTACTTCCAGTAGTGAAAGTAGCAAACGTTCTTCTGCCTGCTTACTTTTCAATTATGAATTTTCGCACGATTCTTAGTGTCAATAATAAGGTTTTTGGTAATGTAACAATAACACTTCTTAGTGTCCGCCCCCCCCCCCACCAAAAAAAAGAAAAAAAAGGAAAAACATTTCTTAGGTTTAAATCACTAAAATAAAATATTATTTTTCATAATTTCTTTTTGGATATAAGTTTTGGTTGCTTGTTTTGTTTTCTTGATCCTTTATTTTGAATTTATTATATTCAGGAAGTCAACTGTGGATATATAAAATCATTTAGTTTGTCTTTTAAATATAACTGCTTTCTAAATATTGATATGGGTGCTAATTTAAACTGCACTCTTACATTTTCTCTTACTATTGCATTGCACCTCAACTAGTAAAACTGATTCTTGGTATAATATGTTTGTTGGTGACTTGACGTTTGTCTCGTGATGATTATACCATTGCTATTGAGCAATCAGGGTTTAAAAAAAACTATGTTCCTTCTGTACAGTGAAGTTCGTGTTGAAGGATTGGAGACACTTGATTATCTGGATAATTTGAAGAACAGGGAGCGATTTACTGAACAGGGAGATGCGATAACATTTGAAGGAGAAGTGAGTTTGTGATTGATTTGCCCCTCAGTCTGCTCACATTTTAACCTAGTTTACTGTTAACATATTCTTATTTCTGCTTAAAAGGTGGACAAGATATATCTCGGTACTCCTACAAAAATTGCAATTCTGGATCATGAAAAGAAGAGAACCTTTGTATTACGCAAAGATGGGCTCCCTGATGCTGGTGAGGTTTATTTTCTCCAAGTTTTTAATTTATGTTCATACTATTTATATGGAGTCTGATTATGCAAGACTTCTATTTATACTCTCAAATACACACACACACACACGTGTACTTCATTTTTACATCGAGTTGGAAAATATTATCATTGCTGCTTAATGGTAGAGGTACTTTTTTACACTTTTTATAGGCGTAAATCTATGAAACCCGTCTATAATAGAATTATGGATTATTGTTGGATCGTTTCAAGTGGTTGGATTACAAGTATCCCGAAATGCCTTTCTGTATGTTAATATGAGTTGTTCCCTGCTTTAATATTGTTATTTCTTTTGCCTGCAGTGGTATGGAATCCCTGGGATAAAAAGGCAAAGGCTATGTCTGATTTCGGAGATGATGAATACAAGCATATGCTGTGTGTGGAAGCTGCTGCTATTGAGAAACCCATCACATTGAAACCCGGTGAGGAATGGAGGGGAAGGCTGGAACTTTCTGCTGTTCCGTCCAGTTACTGCAGTGGCCAACTTGATCCTCAGAGAGTCCTCCAGGGTAGCTGAAGATCCCTTACTGTGGTCGATATATGTACAGGTAATCATGCTGAATGTTTAAAACCTGTACTTTATTTATTTACAAGTATCAGGTGATGCTACTGATGCAACTGTAAACTATGATGCTACTTCCATGCTGCTTCTGTTTTTTCGTTTCTGGTCCGGAATTTAATTTTCAACCTAAAATAGGAACTGAACCTCGAATTGTGAAAATCAAAGAAAACTTTTTCTAAATGGATCAAAGCGAATTTCAATGTTCAGTACATGCATCATAGTTCTTTTTCTTCGATGTGTTTCAGCGGAACGGTTTTCATTTCAACCTTGCATAAAGAAACTAAAATGTGTAGAATACATTTAACATGCCGGTTCTTAGATGGCTGTAACCTTTTGCGTCTGGTCATTTGCAGGCGGTGTCCTTTTTTACTGGTATGTATAAGTAAATTTTAGAACAGTTTTTGTCCTGTCTCTGATCACATTGTCGAGTACAGTCCTTATTGTTGGCCCTGTTTTTATTATCCACTGCAATTTATGCTGCTTCACCTATTCGTAACCGAGTTGAAAATACCTTTGGTGGTGTTATTGGTTTTTATTTTAGCGAAGTGAACGGAATCGTTTATAATTACGATGCAACATGCAGGTACCATGAGGCAACATGTTGTGGATGAATCCTGGATTTTTGGTGGATGAATGAAATAATAAGGAGCTTAGTGCATTGTGGAACAATGTTATAACTGTTATCAATTACACTATTAGAAAACGACAATATTATTTTGTTGCTGATATTGAAGCACTGTTGGTTATTTCAGCTGTGGATGAGCTTTTATTTGTCTATGGGCTGCCTTTTGATTTGTAAGAACTTCCTTATTCAAATTGAGTTGGATTTTCCCCTTTATTTTATTTTTATTATAATTTTAGTTTAGAGTTTCTAATGGGGACTCTGCATAAATTATATTTTCATGAATTAGTAAGGGAATTACATTAACATATATTATAGATTAGATATATTAGATAAGAATTGCTTTTGTTGGTTGTGTAATTTGGTGTCGCATTTATTTATTTAAAGTCTATCAAATAGGAGGGCTACAAGGATGATTTTTTTTTTCTTCCATTAAGTGTTTAAATTGAAATTTTTATATATTTTTTATTGTTATAACTATCAACATCCGATTTATTAGTCGATTAATTTGGATTGAGAACTGTAAAATTTATTACAGATCAATCTTCTCAATCCAATTTGTTTTTTTTAAATCCAATTTTTTTTCTTCATAATATTAGAATTTGAATTCTGACTTTATTTAAACGATTTAATCTCATATTAAATCTGTTAATATATTTTATGGTTGTTGATCAAAATTAAAATATGTTAAAAGTAGTGAAATTATAGTTTACTCTTATAATGTTGGTTAAATGTTTTCAATGCCAATATCTTAACAATGATTTTAAAACTTTTGGGTTGTTAGAAATTTAAAGATAATAAAGAAATAAGAACATTGCAAAGAATGATGATAAAACAAAAAGACGATGGATTGAATCGAGAAATAATTGGTTTGATAGTTTAATTATACATGTTGGGTTTGATAGTTTAATTTTTTTCATGAAAAATAAATTATAATTAATTTATTTATTTTAGAATAATTCAACGGAGAACTAAAGATACTACTGTTTAACCTTCAACCTGGTTCTAACAAAAAATTGAATCTCCCTCTCGAATCTAATGCCAATTGGATTGATCGTTTCCATTTTTTTTCCCCGTGAAATTCTGATTACATTGCTGAAGAAAATTGTTTAAATACTTTCGAATTCGGGTATTTAATTAACATTAAAAACTGAGATAAATTAATTTAATCAGATATATCTACGAATGATACAAACAGTACAAACTAAATATTGTTCAAAGGTGTCAAATCTTGTTTATGCTTAAACCATGGAGAACTCAATAACGAAGTGTCAGGTCCATTGAAATCTTCTCCTTTCTTTGATTTAAACGAACCTGGTGAACCAACTTCCCTGATTTCTTCACCATCGGATTGATTATAGGCCTTGGATTGGGAGTTTTTCACCGTCTTCTTCTTCTTGCTTGAACCGCCGCCGATGCTTAATGTCAGCTCGATTTCACTATCTTCGTCGGAGTTTTCTCCGACCGGTCTCCCCAGATCGAACCCCATTTCCGTTTTCGTGACTCGGATGTGATCGTCGGAGCAACTGCCACTCTTGCCCCTGGAGTGGGTCGTTGAAGTTGCCCACAATTTGTTTGTGCTGATTTCCCTTTCTAGTTCATCCATCAGCATCTTTTGAACATTGTACAGTCGATGAAGTTCTCGTACCTATAATTTAGTTGGTAACCCTTGCTTAGTATAATAGATATGCTCGATTAATTCGATTAATTTTTTTGAAAATATATAATTTAATATGTTTATATAGAGTTAGTTGTTTCGGTTATTGGTTAAAAAATAATAGTCATTGATTGATTTAACAAGTTTTAATCGTTAAAGGTAGAAATATTGCTGATAATACCTTACTTGCCCAGGAAATTGTTAGGGTTACTCTAGGAAAAATCTCTCCTAGGTGCTCCATTAAAATAGATTTGCAAAAGGCTTTTGACTCAGTCTGCTGGGATTTTTTGTTAGTTGTTCTGGATGCTTTGGGGTTGCCTGCTACTTTTTGTAGTTGGATTAAAGCATGTGTTACTACCCCTAGGTACTCTATTGCTCTTAATGGCACATTGGTTGGGTACTTTGAGGGTGCTAGGGGAGTCAGGCAAGGAGATCCCCTATCTCCATACCTCTTTGTGATTGTGATGAATGTCCTTTCTTCTCTATTGAACATGGCTGCTAAGAATGGCATTTTTAAATTTCACCTGAAATGCAAGAGAATTTCCCTCACCCATCTGTGCTTCGCTGACGATTTGCTCTTATTCTGTCATGGGTCTCTGGATTCTGTATTGGGGGTTGTTAGCGTTTTAGGTAAATTTTATGAACTTTCTGGCCTAAGACTGAATGCTATGAAGTCTGAATTATTTGCTTGTGGCCTGCCTATGAATATCTTGGAGCATATTCAGTATGCTGCTGATTTTAAAATTGGCCAACTCCCTGTTAGATATTTGGGAGTGTCTTTGGTCACTCGTAAGCTTACTAGTAAAGATTGTTCAACACTTCTTGTTAAAATCAAAAGCAGAATTGATCAATGGGCTAGTAGAAAACTCAGTTTTGGAGGTAGATTACAGCTTGTCAAATCAGTTATGTTCAGCATTTTTGGTTACTGGAGTAGGCAGATTATTCTGCCTAAGGGTGTTATTAATGATATTGAAAAACTGTGCATGCGGTTCTTCTGGAAGGGCTGTGATATCCCAGCTCGTGGTGCTCGAGTGAGCTCGAACCAGGTTTGTGCTTTAAAGTCTGAGGGTGGTTTGGGTTTAAGGAAGCTAACAGATTGGAGTAAAGCTTGTTGTCTTATGCTTGTCAAAAATATTCTGGCAGATGAGGGTTCTCTGTGGATAGCCTGGATAAAAGATTATTGTTTTAAATATGTGGACTATTGGAATGTTGATTCAAAGCCTCATTTCAGCTGGATTCTGATTAAGCTGGTTAAGTTGAGGGATGAGGTTAGGAGGCTGTTTAGCCTGGTTCCTATCTGGTCACAGATCAAAGGCGGTTGGATTTGGGATAGCATTCGTACAACAAGAGACAAAGTTGGGTGGCATAAGCTCATATGGTTTCCATCTCATATTCCTAAATTCTCTATTATTGCATGGATGGTGATTCTTGATAGATTGCCAACTAAGGATAGACTTACCCGCTTTGGCATAGGAAATGATAATATTTGCGGACTGTGTTCTGGTAGTGTGGAATCTCGTAACCACCTATTTTTTGAATGCTCGTTCGCAAGTGAGATTTGGAATGCTATTTTGCGAGATTTTGATCTTAATCCTCAGGCGTTAAGCAGCTGGGATGAGGCCCTGCGCTGGTTGATTTCGAATCTGAAGGGTAAGCCACTTCTTGTTCACATCCTTAAGTTGGCGTGGACTGGTTTTGTTTACTTTCTTTGGGAGGAACGTAATCACAGGTATTTTAGGGGCGTGATTCGTTCGACTACGGTAGTTGTGAATAGGATTCAAGAGGCTGTTCGAATTAAATTGTATAGTCGTTCCATGAATAGGGTAGATGATGTAAATAGGAGATTATGTTTAAATTGGGGACTGGTTTAGGCTATTTGCCTTGTTTTTGTAGCAGCTTGATGCTTCCTTTGGATATATAAAATTCTACTTATCCAAAAAAAAAGTTTTAATCGTTTCTTTAACTCGATTTAAAATCGAAAATTGACCCATACAAGAATAAAATTAGGGTTAAATTGTCTAATTTTAAAACTGAAGGAGGTTTAAAAAGTGTTTAAACTAACCAAAAAAACGAGATCTTAATTTGTCTAATTTTAAAGCTGACGAGATTTTTCATGTGTTTAGTGAATGGATAAAGCAACATTTAGTCCTTAAACTTGGTAATTTCCCAACTTGATCCTTGAACTTCCTTTGTCCACATTGATCCATGAATTTAGATTTTGTTACATTTTAATGACATATTACAGTGAGGTTGTGCAATATTTTATAATCTCATGGTCTCATGTCATCCCAATGAATAAAATGGAAAGATTGTCAACTTTAGGACTAATGTGGATTAAGAAAAGGTTAATGGACCAAATTGAAAAAAGTTAGCAAGTTCATGGACAAAAATGGAAAAACATGATGTTTTCATAGTCCATACCTGGTGTTTGAACATATCTTCATGCATTTGCATCGTCTTCTTGATCGACTCCATGTTAGTAACCCTAATTTTCAGCACCCCATCCATGGAACTTTCTTTGAAATAATCATCCATGAAATGCAGAGAAAAATTGCGGCCGCCCTGTGAATTTGCTATTGTGGTTATCCCACGGTACCCGACTTTGGTTCCCATGGCCTGAAAATGGTATTCAGAGGGTGAGCTGATATACACGGAACATACTTAGAATTTTATGCTAGAGTTTGAATTTGTAAAATTTTAAAAGAGAATTTATAAAATTTTAAAAGAGGTAAATTTATAAAATTTAAGAATAAAAATAGATCATTATTAAAAATAAAATATATGAAAACTTAAAATTTTAAAATTTTAAGAGTGACTCTTCTCACCCGAATATAGATATATATTTGATACCGTGAATAGAGTAAATTAAGTTGGTAGAATTGTTTTCATTATGAATATTTATAATATTTGATCTATATTAGTCCACTAATGTCGATTATACTAAGAAAAAAACTATTAAATAACTCAACTAAGAACAGGGTATAGAAGCAGAGAGATTGAGTTTCATGCAGTAATTTGCAGAAGTTGAAAAACATGGCTAAAACTACTATGTAGTGTTTCAATTCAACTGCAAATAAATCAAACGATCAGAGACAATTAATCAAACATTTACCGATCAATCAAAAACTCTAAGAAATCGGCTATCAGCCAATCTCCATGCAAAAACAACCATCAAACAAGAGATTAACACAAGAAGAATTGCGGAAGCATCAGTCAGAAGAGTGGATGAATTCGATATTCAAAGTGAGTTTATACCTGCAAGAGAAAATCTCTTCAAAGAAGCAATTCATTGAACAAAAGTGCTCAGAGCTGAAGCATCTGATATTTTCCCATCCGTATAAGTAGATCTATTGATGAAGAAGCAAATGCGGAGAACACCCAGATTAGAAGGGCTAACAACGATGAAACCCTTTTATTTCGAGGACGGAGATAACTAAAAACACGCAGCCAAAATGGATTGTATTGTTTAAGACATGGAAACAGCTCTTCAGAGTTTTCAAAGTTTGTTTTCTTAGTGAAAAGGATTCAGGGTTTGACAGGCTGTGAAAGAGGCAAGAGCAAGAAAAAAGCTGGATTAGTAGCAATAATATTATTTTTCTAGGAGAGAGAAACCTATATACGTGGGAATCTCTGGATTAATTTGGTTGATTCATGCAATTATATATAACCCTATTAAACAAACATTCAAACTAAATCACAATACATATGAAAAGAGTATTCATGTTGATAAAGTTGTGTTTTTCCATATTAAATTTTAGTGTTTTTTATTTTACGTTTATTATTATCGTGCTTGTATTATTAGTTTATAGTCTCGAACCTGAAATTTCAGATTTCTTAACATATCATCGTCATCAATCTAAGATTTCATTGGACAACATATTTGAGTTGCTCGTAAGTCATATGTGCAATTCTTGTGTTATTCTTAATATTATGATTGTTATTGATTTACAACTAGTGGGGAGAAGGTCGGTGGTGTTTAATTGAGTGGAGAGTCGTTGAGAAATGATTTTGAGACTTCGATCGGTGACAAATTAATCTTTCTGATATAAACGGAAAATCGTTGAAAAATGAAGACGATCGAAAGCAAGGATTCCATGAGAATAAGGATTTTACCCCTCTACATGAGAGATAAAGTCTGCTTATATACTTTGACCAAAGATTATTCATCAATGTCGCATAATTATTGACAGACTAATTAGATATGATTAATTTCGGCAGACAATTTACGATTTATATTATATATAGATATATAAATAAAAGGAAAGAGGTGAGGTGAGACAATGCCTCTGTGTTTCGAAGGCACTACTTTGACTAAGATATTGCCAATCTAACCACATTTGCACGTTCCTCTTAAAGCTGAAATATGCTGCATTTCTGGGTCCACAATGTCCACCATTTGCTATTCAGTATTTTGAAAATACATTAATAATATATTTTAAAAATAAATAAATAAATATAATTATCTGTTCATCATAAAATATAAAATAAAGGTGATAATTATTCTTCCTTATCGTACAACACAAGTGAAGATGATGAAGCGTTCACTTTGTGATTTTGACATCAACGAAGGTAAGTTGATTAGTAAGAGATTCTTTCAAGGGTTGCTCATCAAAACCACCAATATTCCACTCTTATGTTTAATCTGTAGGTAGGCATGTTATGCCTTTAAACCTAATTTCCACCTACACTAATTTAATAATTAATATTTCGATTAACAATTTACATTAATTCAGTTGGAGATTCGACAATGAAATAAACACCAATTATTATTTATAAAAAAATTATTTTAATTATTTTTTAATCAAACTAACATTTTCGATTAATAGATGATACCATCTTCATGAAAGACTTAATAATAATATGAATAGATTATATATATTTGAATATAATATATTTAATTTAGGTCTGTGGTTTAATCTTGAATAACTTCTTTCTCTCTTTTTATAAAAAAAAATATTATATATTTATATAAATTTCAAGGCCACTAAACCACTATGGTTGACTAATTAAACACTTTGATCGGTCTTTTTAAGCATAAACTTTTTATGAGATGATAAAAGTTGGTAAACGTCTCTTGTTAACCCATTAATGGATGCTTTAAGCATATTGTTAATTAATTAAACCCCAAATTTATTTTAATGCCAAACATGCTCTCGTCTTAGCATATTCTCGATTGTCGATCGAGTATTAGGTCGCATGTTTAAGCATGTAAATCTTCAGTTTTAACTCAAATTAAATTTAATACGATTAACCCGAATTTAAATCTAACACAATTAGATTAGATCATAATAATTTTGACAATTTAAACTCGCTCTAGTAGAAAATGACATCGACCTAAAATGACTTAGACCCAAATGTCAAATCAAATAACAATTGAAATGTCTCGAGTCTAAATGACTCTTACCGAGAATGATTCAAATAAAAAATGACATAACACGGGACGTTAAACCTAAATGATAGTCCAAAATAACATGAATCTAAGATGATTCAGTTCGGAAATTGACTATTATAACATCAAAACTATACCTAAAATTGTCCCCAAAAAATATAAAGATTAAAACTAAACCTTAATTTAAATACATTCAATTCAACTCGACTCGAAATAGATCAATCTCCGTCTAATTCATAGCAGCTTGTTTTTATTTAATTATAGCATATATAAAACAAGCAAGTTAGGGTAACAAGGGAAAGATTCTTGCAAGGCATCAATGTTAGAAAAAGGCTAAAAACATGTTGCATCCACTTCCCCTTCATTGCATCAGATTCCGAGTATGACTCCTTACTTAACCAATCAAAAACATAATATAATTAATTAATTAAGACTTTGATTGTTTTAATTTCACGACAAACCAAAAACATAATAAAATAAATTAATCTTATCTTGTTGCGATCCCATCCCATCATTTTAACAACAATATCTTCTCATCCCACGTTCCTCTACTTCATTTATTATTGGGTTTCTCATATTATTATTGTTATTATAATTTTGATCATTAAGCCATTATGACTTAAATCTCGGGTTTGATCTGAAAATTTTATAATATGACTCGTTTAGTGAATAGATAAATAAAAAGAAAAAATAATATAATTTTATTCAATTAAAATAATTGTGTCCATACAATTATATATATGAATAAAATTTTTAAGACTTGATTTTTTTCTTGTAATATTAGGAATGGAGTCTAAATCAAACGTCATGAGAGATCAAATTATTAAACTTAAAAGATATAATGAGTTATTAAGTATTTAATTTCAAAATTTAGGACACAAGACCTAATTTATCTTATATTTAGACTTACAGAAACTTAATTTATCATTAGATCAAAATATTTGAAGGACACGAGTCTCTCCCACTCTTTTTTTTTAATTCTGTCAGTGAAAGAACTATCTTATAATTTATTGTCAATTATAATGAAAAAAAATTATCAATATTTTTATGCAAGATTATGTATTCTTATTTTTCTTTATTTTTATTATTTAATGATTGTTTGTTTATCGTTATCCATAACATCGTTTAATTTTAACAATTTGATAATTTTGTGAATAGTCTAAGAACGATCATAAGACAATATTTGTTCAAAATCTTTTTAGTTAATGAACAATACACACATGACATATCATATAAACGTAGTTACTCAAACCTAAAACTTCAAGAAACAATAACACTTTTTTTGAATTAATCACTAGTATTCGATCTATTGACCGACTAATCCAGATCGGATATTACATAGGCGAGAGGAACTCTCCCAACCCAGTTTGTTCCATTCGCAAACGTCAATATTCAAACCCCTGACCTTGCTTAAAAAACTTATTGTCTCATCCCACTCGATCAACTGGTTGTTGATAATAACATTTTATTTTATTAATAAGATAGATTGATTGATTTGATATTTTAAAATTTACAATGCAAAAAAATGGGCATAACATCGCACCGAAATAAATACAAATAAAAAAAGAGGAGGCTAATTAAAAGTGGAAAATTATTAGTTGTTAGATATAATTAAAATAAGGAGGAGCACATGGAGGCGGCATTGCTCTCCACAAGTACGTGTAAAGTATTAAGGAGGGATCAAGCAGACAACAATCTTAAATTCCGATTGCCTTGTTCTTAGCTACACATACATACACACAATATAAGCTGATACGTAGTATTTTTTTTCCTTTCTAAAAATATAATAATTCATATTATTTTATAATTTATGATTATTTATGTTATAATTTTAATAAACAATATTAATATGACTCATCTCAACTTTCATTCATCATTGTCATCGATAATCATTTTATAACTGTCATTCTAGATCAAAATACAAAATTATCATTATGTTAATATGAAGCTTAAGAGGAATTAATACACAAACTAACAATTTATGGAGCCATTGCAAGTGTTTATAGGATGAGTAATCGGTTGAGTCGAGTGGAAAATAGTTCAATTAGTTAAGTTTTCGAGTATTGTTTTATTATTCAAATTTTATTTAAGGTATTTTAGAGTCGAGTTAAATTTATGAAATTCGAATTGAAATGAATATATTTATTCGAGTTTATGTTCAATTTTAAATATAACGTTATAGTACTGAATGTCTCCAATTTAAACGACTCTCTCTATTTATATCAATGTAGATATATTTTTTCTTACACATATAATATTTATAATGTTATTTATTAAATTAAATATCATCAAAAAAATATACAATATATATGTAACCCCTAGACCCGGTCTGTAAGTTAGACCCAAACCTAAGTGTTCACATATCTCATTCAGAGATTTTTTTTAAACAACTTGTAATACATTAGATATAATACATATATATCCAAAACGATAGCAAATACATGTCACCAAACACAACTGAAAAACATATAGAGATATACATTCGTACAAAATAAGTAGTTGATCTCCCCTGATGCCAAATCTGCTAGCTTACGGTTTGTTGTTATCTGAAAAAGGTAAAAACTATAGAATGAGCTAAAAAGCTCAGTGTGCCCCATACAGTGTATAAAACATACATATAAAAAAAATTCAAATAAAATAAAACAATTTATCAATTTCATTTTAATAATATGCACACTACCCCATCCAATCATCAAAATGTGTAAGTTCATATGAACCATACACCACCTATACACCAGTAAGGCTTAACCTGTGCACAAAGTAGAGGAGCCTAGGAAAACTGTAAGGTTTACCCTTGCACACAACAAAGGGACTTGGGAAATTGTAAGGCTTACCCTTGCACACAGCAAAGGGACCTGGGAAACTGTAAGGCTTACCTTCGCACACAGCAAAGGGATCTGATAATACTTCCTTCAATCATACCTCCAATGACAAAAAAATAACATGTATGCATTAGAGTAAAAACGGTAATTAATCCATTAAATATGGAAATGTTCCATATTTAGAAATCATGTACAAAAATACTATAACTATAAACCATATAAAAAATATATGGTAAATCAGACATTAAATAAACATTATTCAAAACACCAGATATTTTCTCATAAAATATATTATATTCCCATAATATAAACCAGTTCAGATATATAGTTTTAAAACTGTAAGATAACACTGTCAGGAAACACACTTGTAATAGTCTGAGAAATCAGATAGAGAAGCCTATTACTGGGTTTCTCGATCACGCTCTGCTGCAGCGCTAGATCCTACGAATTGGAAAAATCCATATTGGAATCATAATATAAATAATATTAATCTTTATTTAAAAAATATACGAAAACCTACGGGTAATTCTTGTAGTACGCGGTTCGGGCTGATCTGACGAACGAACAACTCCAGACCTAACTGATCATCGCTCAGGTGAAACACAAGTACCTTCATAAAATGTTTTATTGAATCAATTCCTTAACCAAAACTCAAATAAATAATCAAAATATTAAAATACTAAGCCTTTTGGTTTCACATGCTCGATTCAGGGATTTCGGGTCAGAATTTGGTAAAACGGACTTCGGAATCAGATTCAGAACGTCGAAAAACATAAAGTATGACATTTCAAAATTATGAATTCTTGGTCAAAATTAAAGTCAACGGGTTTAACTGACGATTTGGAGACTTCCGGGTTTGAATTTGGTGAAACGGACCCCAAAAACAGATTTAAGACGTCAAAAAATATTAGGATAGGAATTTTCGAAAAAGATTAACGGTTGTTTAATAGTGTGGTCAAGATATGAACAACCATTTTACGAAAATAGCATCATTTTCAAAAAAATTACCAAAATATCACAATTTTCAAAATAATTACTAAAATATCATTTTTTTTTAAATTACGAAATTATATTTTAAAAAAAATAGAAAATTAGCACCCTTTTCAAAATAATTACCAGAATAGCATCCTTTTCCAAATAATTACAAGAATACCACTCGTTCAATGGTCAACAGTCAACGGGTCGGGTCGGGTCGGGTTGTAACCGGTCAAACCGGTCATTTTGACCTTCCCCACGCGTAGTGGCGGCGCGTGGGAGCGCGTGGGACCACTTCCGGCAGCGTAAAATTCACAGAAAAATTTCTAAAAATTATTTTGAGCGATTTCGAGATACTTACAAAGCTCGGTTCAAATTTTTGAACGGCGGATAGCTCGATTTCATCAAATCGGAAACTTTGACCGCTTCACCTCCCCACGCGCCGTCGTCGACGGAGACCAAGGATAACACCGGCGGACTCGGAATGACACAAGGAACACGATGGTGCGGGAGGTGTCGTAAACGGAGCAACGATTAGCGATGAATTTAAGATTTCCTCAGCGATGGAGCTAAAAAAAGTCGAGACTTTGACTTAAAATTCACGACGTTTGGCAGCGTTTCACTTCAATTAATTTAAGGGATTTGTTCCTCGCTCGATGATGAATACGGTGGTGTTTTCAAATCAACGATCAGAGGTCGGACGGCGTCGGGATCGTGGTTGGAAGATGGGAGTTGGGAAGGGAATTTTGGGAATGGGTTTCTATTTGGTTTCACATGCTCGATTCGGGGATTTCGGGTCAAAATTTGGCAAAACGAACTTCGGAATCAAATTCAGAATGTCGAAAAACATAAAGTATGACCTTCCGAAATTCTGAATTCTTGGTCAAAATCAAAGTCAACGGGTTCGAATTTGGTGAAACGGACCCCAAAAACGGATTCGGGGCGTCAAAAATGTCAGGATAGGTATTTTCGGAAAAGATTAACGGTTGTTTAATAGCCGGTCAAAGTTCGGGTCAAAGGTGGTCAAGATATGAACAATTTTACGAAAATAACATCATTTTCAAAAAAAATTACCAAAATATCAACATTTTCAAAATAATTACTAAAATATCATTTTTTTTAAAAAAATTACGAAATTATCTTTTTTTTTAAAAAATTACGAAATTAGCACCATTTTCAAAATAATTACCATAATAGCATCCTTTTCCAAATAATTATCAGAATAGCACCCGTTCAACGGTCAACAGTCAACGGTCAACGGGTCGGGTCGGGTCGGGTCGGGTTAACGGGTCGGGTCGGATTGTAACCGGTCATTTTGACCTTCCCCACACGTAGTGGGGGCGCGTGAGACCACTTCTGGTAGCATAAAATTCATAGAAAATTTTCTAAAAATTGTTTTGAGCGAGTTCGAGATACTTACAAAGCTCGGTTCAAATTTTTGAACAGGAGAGAGCTCGATTTTATCAAATCGGAAACTTTGACCACTTCACCTCCCCACGCGCCGCCTTCGACGAAGACCAAGGATGACACCGGCGGACTCGGAACGGCACAAGGAACACGATGGTGCGGGAGGTGTCGTAAATGGAGCAACGATCGACGATGAATTTAAGATTTCCTCGGCGATTGAGCTAAAACAACGTCGAGACTTTGACTTGAAATTCACAGCGTTTGACAGCATTTCACTTCAATTAATTTAAGGAATTTGTTCCTCGCTCGATGATGAACACGGTGGTGTTTTCAAATCAACGATCAAAGGTCAGACGACGTCGGGATCGTAGTTGGAAGATAGGCGTTGGGAAGGGAATTTTGGGAATGGAAACCACGTATATAACATGGTTTTCATACACTTCCAAGGTAAATTCAGGACTTAGTCCATGAATTTATCTCATCTCTAAAACATGCTACAAGTTTTGAGAATTTTTAATTTAGTCCCCAATTTCACCTAATTACTTAATTAAATCCTCAAATTCCAATTAAATATATATATTTTTCAAAATTCCGGGTTGGTACAATATCTATAATGCTATTTCTAAAAGAATAGATTTTAAAGAATAAATATTGATGAGAGTGTAAAAAATCATAGAAATGTTGAGAAAAAAATATTTGTAGCTATTGTAGTCGAAGAGAAATTGAAGATATACAAGTACTTTAAAGTGGGAAGCGTACGTAATTCAATTTAAATATTATTTTTGAAAAGTGATTTTGAAAAATGTTATAAAAAGTACTTTCAAAAGTATTTTTAAAATTTATAATTTAAAATTTGATTGTTTGAAGATTCCAGATGAAAAGTTATTTTTAAAAAATAAAATATTAATTTTAAACATTATGTCCGTAAATTAAAAATATAATATTTGAGTATAAAAATATAATTTTACCTTAATATTGATTTTCCACAACAAAAATTAAAAATTTGAGCTTTTGAGATTAAATTGCAAATCAATTTTTCAACCATAATTTTAAATAATACTTTTTCATTGCCAAAAGTATTACCGAGTTGAAACGTAAAAGTAAACTGCTAAATTATTTAACTAAAGATTAAAATAATACCGTTTTAATTTTTAATTTTTCGACTATTCTAACTTTACATATTCAAACTATTTCCACTAATATTCATCATCATCTTCATTTCTTGATCCGAAAAATTTCCTTGCAACAGCTGCAAAAGCACCCAGAAACAAAAAGAATAGGAGTGTATCGAATCCGCCTCCGACGCCGACTGCAACACTAGGGCCAGGAGCAAAGAAGGAGAATGGTGACCAGCCCCATCCGCCATAGAACGGAACACCGTAACCGTATCCATAGCCTCCGACTAGAGGTGGGGCAACCGGTGGATTAATGTAAATGTTGGTCCTGAACAAACATTAGTTTAAGCATTAATTTCAAAATTATTAAACATATTTATATCCGACACTCGCATGCGTATGTAAACAACATAGTTGTCCGTAAAAGCAAATAATGAAGGTAATTAACTCCTTATTTTTCTTGAAGTATTTGTGTGCGACACTCACATCTGACCCTTATTTTGGTACGAGGATATGAACTTCTAAATTTGTAAGATTTTTTTTAAAAAAAATGGATATATTCGTATAAGACACATATCCGTATGAACACCAACATTCAAATTAGACTTACGAACACATAGCAAATAATCAGAATCTTGGCTCAACTAGTTCATGTAAATGATCTCAAAGAGGTAGCATCTAATAGGTCCGGTATTCGAAACTTAATATATGTGACTCTTTCGTCCGAACTTAATCATACGTATTTCTAACCTATGTCAATTGGATTCGGGTTCAAGTGTCAATACGAGTATGTCTTCGAGTATAGTCAATAATGTTAAAGACAATAAAATCATACATACACAGTGGACGCCAGGGCCAGTGGCCTCAAACAGAATCACAACATAACTAAATAGCTCAAGCCGATGAAATTACCTAGAATTGCTTTTGGCTCTCGGTGCTGAGCGAGGAGCCGATGACCGGAACGCTTGACCACCAACTCGACCGCCGGTTTTGGCAGCAGACGCGTCGTCCACCGAGCCGAGAGTCAACACTCCAGCAGCCAATGTCACTATTGCTAGCTTTGCTAACTGTTTCTCATTTCTCCTGTAAAAAAAAAACACAATCCAACACCCCTAAAGACAAATCCTCGGTCACGTAACACACAAAAAAATCATTTAAAATCAACATATTAAATATTTAATCATTTTAATGGCAGGAACAAACTAATAGTATTATCAATTTCATCTTACTGATAACCTAATTATCAATTTATGTAAAATTAGAGTAGAAGGCTAAATTCTAAATGAAAAACACGATATAGGGACAAAAACCATAATTAGACCCATATGAAAAATTCAATCCCAAACCCTAAAGTAACAGCTAGACTCGAAGAATAAAGTAAAAGGAAGAAGAAAGGGCTTATACCCCATGGAAACGAAGCAGTACCAGGAGGAATCTTCGTGGTCATCTGACTGAAACTTGAAGGAAATGAAGGCAGGGGAGCTGGGAAGCTTAGCTCTGGGTTTGTGAGTGAATGTGAAAGCGTTGGTAAGGAAGGTTTGATGAGAATTTGAAGATGATGATGCTAAGGACATGTTTGGTTTGTTTCCGAGAAATTTATGGGATTCAGCTTCTGGTGAATTCCGGCAAATATAATCACTTAATTTTTGTTAGTTCTTGAAGCTTACATTTTTTGGATGAAGCGAGTGTTGCTGAGATTTTTGTTCATTCCTTAATATCCAGATTGCCACGTGCTCGAATATTTATGGCCCTACGTTTCCAGACTATATATTTATCTGATATCACTTATTTTATTTTAAATTATCACAAAAATAAAAAATAAGAGTGCATTAAAAAAACGTGGCTAATTTATATAAATAATATTTTTTATTGCACAAATCAAATAATATCAGAGAGAGAGAGAAATCATTTTTATTATTTGAGGTCTATTATTCGAACATCATACATGTTAGGGATGTGGTTGTTCAATTTTAAATGGTTAAAGAGCTATCTTTGGACAAATATTATTTGTAATTACCTCATATTAATCAAATAACAAAAATAATAATAAAGATGCGTCACGTAAATAATATTATTTATAAGATATATTTTGTGGGATTAAAAAATTATAATAAAATTAGATATAAACAATATGAAAAATTTTATAATTAAATTAATTGATTTTGAGCTATTATTTTTTTTTAAATTAAAGAAAAAAATACATTTTCGAACTTTTAACACAGATTCTATGTAGAAGAGAATAAGATCATAGTTAATAATTAAAAAAAAAATACTTATAGAATAGGATCAAACTGCAGATAGATGGAGTTTGTATTATTTTCTTGTAATTTGAACATGTAGTTATAAGAAAAACAAAGATTACTTACAAAAATAATGAAATTGAAAGAAAGATTTACAAGTAAATTTATCCGATTTTTTAAAAACCAGACATATTCGAATGCAAATATCCAAATTCTTGTTCCCTAATATTTAACCACGGACATGTTAGACTGTTCCGGTAACTAAATTACATTCTCCTTTCCCCCTTCACAATCTTCTGTAAATGACATTGAAACGCCGGTCTTCAATTTTATACGGGTAACCGGTATTGGTTTCCTAAACGGTGTAATGCTGCTGGATCGTATCAATGCCGATCCCCTTTAGCTTCACCACCGACTCGACATGTCCTTTGAGCGTGTGAAGCTCTCGAAGCCTGTAAACAGATATCAGTAATTCGTAGTCGTGTCATAGAGCGAAAGATCATGGCTTGTCATGTTAGTGAATGTTAGGCGTGATAATGATTTACCTAGTAACCTTGGCTCGTCTCTTGGCCTGCTCAGCGATCTCAGGATAAAGGTACATGTACTTACAAGCTGTGCAATAAGGAAGGCAGATACGAATAGCATCCCGGGGCGCTCGACGAATGACCAGCTACGTGATCGTGTCACAAAGATCAAAGCCTGGCTCACAATGCTTACTTGCAAGTATAAAGCACCAATCATCTCATGCTCCGAGCCCCTTAGAGACCTAACACCGAATTTGTCCTGCATTCATCAATACGAACTGTTACGAGACTAAATTCAAATCGAATATGAACTTGAAATCCTTTCAGAACTACATACCGAGAAGAAATCAGTATCATGCATTACCCAGAAGAATATGGCAGTCATCAATGCAAAGTAGCCTCCAAGCACGATTTCGGTAGCGAAAATTTCTCAGTTTCCAGCTATCGGGCTAGGGAGATGGCTTGACTCGGTCCTTCGAGATTGTCATGATAGTTCCTGGAGTAATATTCGATTTGATCGTCAATACTCAGATTCGAGCCGATAAAGCATGGAAGAGCAGAAGAATCATGTGCAACTTATGTAATAATCCACTTACCATCGTTAAGAATGGCAATGATCAGAACCATGAATGGAGAAAAATCAAACTTCCAGATAAGAGCAATAAACAGAAATTCAAACTACAAAATCAGAAACAAAAGATCGCATAAACAAATCGATACAAGTAGGGTAATGAGTTCGATAATCAATTAGTATAAAATCATTTAATCATGTACTAACCACAATACGTATTGTGATCGAAACTGCATAGATCTGTAAAAATAAAAAATCAAAATCAAAAGGGTCATGCATTGCAAAATATAATGTATAAATCTTAAGAAATATTATTAGAGAGAAGAGATCAATTTACGGTATAGTTCTTCATCCTTTGGAAAATAGCTCTGCTAGTCAACACTGTCAGGGCCGTGGCTAGGTTTTCGGGGGCCTGTACAAATTCTTATAAAGGGGCCCTATTTTTTAGATATATTTGATTTCGGGGCAACAATAGTAGCATTTTTTTGAAAAAACGTCGCAATAGATCCATCTATAGTGGTGTTTATTGGAAAAACGCCACTATATATTACTTTTTTTTGGTATTTTTTGGGCCTGCATAATAATAGTGGCATTTTTTGAAAAACGTCGCAATAGGTCCATCCATAGTGGCGTTTATTGGAAAAACGCCACTATATATATACTTTTTTGGGGCCTTTTTTGGGGGCCTTGTGCGGTCGCGCAGTTCATGCCGCCCCAGCACGGCCCTGACACTGCACTAATTATAACACTCAGCCTGGGTTATGTGAGAACAATGTCGGAAGCACTTCCTGCAGCATCAGTAGCATCTGCTTCAGCAATTTCGATATCTGCCTTCTTTAAAGTAGGAGCGTCCTTAACACCATCTCCGATCATTCCACAAATGTGCTTTATTTCCTGCAACTTCTTCACAATTTCGTATTTGTGCTCTGCATGGTAAGTATGGTAAGAAAGCGTCGTGTTATTCGAGACCCCGAAACATAAAAGAAGAGTTTCTATTTGCAAATACCTGGAAATACACCGGCAAATCCATCGGCCTTCTCGATCAACTCTTCCACAGGAATGGCAGCTATGTTTGCATCCTTATCTTGACCTAGCAAAGACAGATGGATACATGTTGGTTCCCATTCCAAGCCTGCGGCCAGTCTCCTTTGCAATTGCGAGTTGATCACTTGGACAATAGAACGAAAATATAAGTACTAAATTGTCACAATGAACATTTAAAGAAATCCTTCAAAGGATAGTTTACCGGTGATCATCATCTTGACATTCACAACGAGATGAAGAACTTGTCAAATGGTTTCGGCACTGTCATGCCTTGGAGGATCAAACAGAGACAACAAACCAGCCAATTGTCATGGAGTATCCGACTCTTAAGTTTTAAGATAAAAATTTGCATATGCACCCGACATGAAAGATATATATATATATATTCATTTTTTTTAAAATCAAGTTGAAAAAAAATACATAAATATTATTATAACTATCTTTATATGTATAAAAGTCAATTATATTATTATTTTCGAGTCAAATCCAGTACTATTACCCTAAACTTGAACTCGATTTTAATTCAACCTTATGCTTAAAAGAAATTAACCCAATCTAATTCAAATTTAATTATTTTTTAAATTAATCATATAAAATCAAATCAGATCAAAATCTGTTGAATTCAAATCAAATATTTATCTTTATTTTTAGATAAGTCTGACATCGGAAGGGAAACCCTTTCCCCTAATCAAAAGTCCCTAAACTTTCCAGTAATTGTCTTTTCGATTTAATTCAATAATAAATAAGAAGTGTTTTGTTTTTTACCCAAATCCTTAAATAAAGTCTTTTTGTAACACTGTAGGGCTAAAACTAAGTATGCCTTAATTTATTCAATTTGGTATAAATATATTTTTTAAAATTCAATACTTTAATGGTTTATATTTGAGATAATTGCATTATTTTTTTTATTCAGATCATATTTAAATTATTTTTCATTATTATTTTCCTTTGAAGGGAATGATTACGAGGTTTACAATTTATTTTCTCATATAATATCTAAGTGTATTCATAATTCTTTTACCATTAAATTAGAAGTTATTATATAATTAAATATGCTTAATATTTATATATTAATAATATGAATTGAATTAAGATTCGATCAACTTGTATTAGTACGAAATTAAGTGAAAAATAATGGTATATTTATATATTAATAATATGAATTGAATTAAGATTCGATCAACTTGTATTAATACGAAATTAAGATCGAAATAATGGTATATTATATCTTTCAATTTTTAATGAAAAAAAGATAAAATATGATGAGAAGATTATGAAACCAACTGGGATTTATTATTATAAAACTATTATTATTATTATTCTAAGTATTACATGCATTATATAATTATATAGGAGGTTCAGTCATAGAACCAAATTATTTGACTTCATGTTGCTGATAAAATTAGATGTGTGTACGTTAATTTATCTATACTTTTTTTTGTTTGTTATTCGATTCTTCAGAGTTTTGTGTTGAATAATTCAAATCGACTTATGTTGCACACTTAATTTTGGTAGATGAGTCTTATATCAGGGATATTTTGCACACATAAGATTTCAAACTCGAGATCTGCTTAAATGATATTAAATTGATTACATGTATTTATTTAATTTGTTGTAAAGTCTTCTTCTATGTTTCTTTTATTTATTTATTTCGAGAAAAATATATGAATAAAAAGAAAAAATAAAAATTTTATATATTGATAATGAAATTTCAAGAAATAGAAAATATTTCTATATATGTCAGATATAATAATAAAATATATTATATTTTTAAAAAGATAATTTAAGTTCAAATATTAAAGATAACACTGTTAAAAAAATAATCATAATTTTAAAACATAAATCACAAAATCAACATAAAAATAAAAAAACTGTCAAAGGTCCATAAATTATAATAAAATTAGAAAAATAGAAAAATAACATGAGACGGCCATCTAAATCAATGTGTGTAATTTGTTAAATATATGTGTAAATTTTTAATTTGAATAATAATAGGATAAATTATACTATTGTTCATCAAACTATTGTCATTTTTCTACATTGGTCATTGTACTTCCTTTATAAAATCAGCATTAACTTTATGTTTTTTTTAGTTTGGTCCTCAATTGTTAAAATATTAATGATGATGATGTTAATGTAATATATTTTATTTTCACGCTATTTCTTCACATCAATATTATCTTCTTATTCAAGAGTATAAATGACATGATAATAATGACGTGAAAATAAAAAATGTATGAAAAATACAAAACATCATATCAAAACCGTCGTTAACTTTTTAAATATT